TAGCCCAGTTATAGATAATTTGTCATCAGCAATGGGGGAGTGATTGCTTCCTACAAGAGCACAAAACGTGTGCTTTTCTAGACATCTTTTAAAAGCGAGTCAGGTGAAGAGCTTTTTTTTGTCTTAAAGGGGCAGTGTTGTATTTTGAGACAGGCTTGAATAAGCTAAGTAGCCAACATGCAGAGGGTAGTATACTTTGTCTGATTCTCTGTAATAATGGTATAGGAATAATAATGCATATTATTTTGTAAAGTGGTTTCTTGAATCAAACAACACAACAACATTTTCAGTCACCTCCTTGTCTGAAGGACAAGTGGATAAACAGGTTAATGTCAAGCCCTGCATGTTTTTGGAATGTAGGGCTACGTTGAACACCACACATTGGCTGCTACTGTAGGCTGAACGATAGAACAGCTATTTCCATGTTAAAATGTTATTGGATGCATTTTCTCCATTGTTTTTGATGGTAGGCCACTCTGGTAGGCCTACATTATGATCAAATAGCCACAGTAGCCTACATGGTCACTGTTAAAACTTAAAGCGGGTACAGCCTCAGTGTTCACAGTAAACGTGCGCCGGAAGTTGCACTGAATTTTCACAACGTTCAAGTTTGCGCTCAGCAGACCTGAAATTTGCTCAGTGATGAAAACAATTAGAGGGAACATTGCTTCAGGGCATTTCTATTTAACTAAACTAACCCATCTCTGGCCTCATTGCTGAAATACTGGCCTTTTTTAGTTAGACAGCTGGGACCTTGACACCATAGAGATAAAAGTTTATATCTGACCGATATGGTGGCAGGCAATGTGTGAGGGGTGGTTGGGGGGCTGCGTGGGGGAGATTTGGGCTGACGAAGGGTTTACGAGCAACACTACTACACCAACTATGTTCTGTACATCCTCTTCTCCCTGTGTCGCAATAGTTATGGAAAAGTACCCATCCCAAGTCTCAGATGTCCAAGTGTACTTCAGGTTTTATTAATAGTAATTATTAATAACCAATATGTTACCTATTCGTTCTGCTTTTCAGATGGCACATTCACGTATAGTTGTACATTTTCTGAATAAATTCTGTAACCCTTTGTGCATTTTCAGTAAACCCAAAACATGTCAGAAAGAAAATGAGCACATCTGGAACCAGGAGAGAGTGTGGAGTTTCACCAAGGTTTATTTACATGCGCACCATTTCTTGTACAAACTAGATTACAATTCAAAATGGAATACACAGGAAAAATACCCACTTACATCAACATCGTCAAGAAGAAGCGAGTTTACTACAGGGGTCAAAGAGCAGAGGTCATAGGTGACAGCAAGGCAGGTGAGGGGCGGGGCTAACGATGGGCAGAAGGTTCTAGGATCAAGAAGAGCTTTGAAGAACAGGGGGCTCATGTCGTGACTAAAAGAGTAACTAGTGGTACTTCTGACTTTCTATTCTGGACATGGGGGTAGTACTGTGTGTGTGTGCCATCATTATGGGGCCAAAGGAGCCTTCCTGTTTCCTCTAAACGCAGTAGCAAAGAATGCATCTGTGGAACATCTGTTCTGGGCTGACTGGGTTCTTTCTCCCCTTCTCGGTCTGTTTGTACACTATAATACAGGGACATTTCTATAAGAGGTAAGGTGCAGTGAAGAGTCATAGAAGGCTCTAGGTTTGTTGGAAGTCACAGGTTCCAGAAAACGATGGGGTTAGAAGATTTCAAGTTTAGGGGATCTACTCTCCTGTCTGTGTGTACTGGGACTCATAGAGATTCTCCCCATACTGAGAGAGCTGAGTGCACCACTGGTCTAGAACTTCAGTGAAGGGGTGGGGGTCATGCACTACATTTCAGGTAGCACTGCTACAGTAGATCACCTACCCAGCCATGCACAAACACTCCTCTGCCTCGGCCTCTGGGTGACGGACATACATACACACGTTTGTTTGTTTGTACACTATTATACAGGACAGACAGGCCAGGGCAACCCTCTGGGTAACTACCCCAGACACAGAAGGGGTACCAGCGGCCCAGATGCTGCTACAATAATGGTGTCCTGGTTCTCTATCTGGTTCAACAACAATAGCATTGCTAATACTAGCATAGCATTTTCCCTTCCAAACGGGCAGGTAATGTAAAGTTATTTCTTCAACCCTACCTTCCGAGGCATCACAAAAAACCAGTACTACATGAGTATATAAAGGACATAGAGTGAGTATATATATATATGCATTTCACACAATTCATAATGCATAAATACAGTACATGCATACAGAGGGGGTGCTGTATGCGCCATGAAGGATAACGAAGGATAACATATCCTTGTGAGATAAAATCAATAAATGAGATAAAAGTCTACAGTCACACACACACGAACACGCACTCAGGAGATACAGGAGAGACCTGTAGGAGCACCAGGTGTGTCTGTGAGGGTGTGGGTGTGCGCGCGTCACGAATCCCACATGAGGAGAAAAAACTATGACTCCAAAAAAAAAACAGAACGACAGGAACGAGTGAATATTTTCCTCTACCTCTTGAAAGGTCATAGTTCACAGGTTACAAGTTCACGACACAAGCATTACTTTTTTGCCAACAAAGGACTTGTTGTTGTGTGTTCTACCATGGAGATGGGACCTGGTGTAATGTTAGGTATAGGCTAGCTCCCTCTTCCCCCTGAGTGATGGTATATGCATATAATAACATGCCCCTCAAGCCCACAACGAAACAACAAGCAGAGCTGAAACATATATACCTGCTCTTATTGTGTTGTGGTGTTTGGCTGCCAGCGTCACCTACATGTACATGTTTCAAGTAATTTGGCAATATATACAGATAGCTTATGGTTTTCTCAAGAAAAACAAAATGGCTGCCAGAGGGGGAGGAGCCTGACTGTACAACCTCCTAGCCTCTCAGCGCCACCCTGCCGTTGCTACTTCTACGGCCACGTAGGTAAAACGCACGGCTTACTAGGGCCTGGACTCAAACACTGTTTACATCATAGCACCCGTTATGGTGTGGAAATGTACACAACGCTAGGACATAGGTATTCATTTTGGCTACATATGCTGTATTACACATCCTCGATGCAACCCTCCAATTAGCTAAGAAAGAATATCTAAACTCCCCCTCCTCCTCGGCTCTTCCTTTAACTTGAAGCTTCCACTGCAGTGTACTTTACACAGATTTCTTGTTGTTTTTTCTTCTATTTTTTACAGTTAGATACAATCTCTCTCTATAGTATTTGGCTAAGGATAATTGTATATCATTATTATTTTTATTAGAAGTCATTTTAAAACTGGGACTAATCAATCAAACTCATGTAAAATGAAAACAACTAAACCTATGTCATCATCGCTCCTAAGGGGTTATGGAGTCTTGTCATTTTGGGAGGTGTGTGTGTAACGTGTGTGTGTTGTCACTATTTTAAATGCAGATATTGTCTCCTTCCTCTCAATTCATCAATACTTTTTTTTACACAAACAGGTGCAGACACAGGGATGATGACAAAACAGGAATTCAAAACAAACATTAAACATTTAAAATCACTGAGTGAAAACAAGAGGGAAGATTTTCAAGGTAACTCACCCCAGAAACCACTATATTAGATTTCACATCACTTTTGTTTATCTTTTGTCATTTCTTCTAACAGGAATTACTTGACTGTACACTACAACCTTGCTTGCCACATTTCCTGGTTTCCCAGCCCAAAACCCCTTCAAATAAACAAAACACAGTCTCTCTCTCTCTCTCTGAAATCTTTACAATGGATTTTGTCCCGACTGGTGCTTTCTCAAAGGAAGATTGCATAATTCTGAGATGAGCTTGTTGTGAAGATTTCACATTGTTTATTTATTTGTTTGTTTGTTTTGCAGGAGGCTTTGAGTAACTGACAGTAGCGTCTTGTGAGTCTGTGTCATTGAAATCGTTCATGGTCAGAGTGGGAGCAAAGGTACATTTCTCTAGAGGAGGTCTTGTGTTAACAGAGGGATTTTATTCCACGTTGTGCTGATGTCAGGTTTGGCAAAAATGACGTTTTGTGTCTGATCTTCTCATGCTTTACAGTTGGGACCTGAAGAGAGGGAGATACGGGAAATGACATCAGATCTGAGTGAATGGGATGAACTTATAATCATAGTTCAATATCAGATTATTACCCAGCAAAAATGTCCACATTGGCACTATGTGGGCCGGTTCCGATCCTCGTTCTATCTCTTCTCTTAACACGTATGGACCCAGAACTTAATTGAGCATCTGACCAATTACGCAAGACTTCCCACATTGGGCTAATGCGCCTTTGCTCATTGGCTCCATGTTGGCCCCCAAGGCATTTGCCCAGTGTGGCCTAGTGTGGGCAGCCCATATCTTGTGAAGGCAGCCCTCACTGCCTGAAATAAGCCCATCTGTTCCCAGAAAACATGCCTACATTGGCACAATGTGGGCCCAATGCAGGCAAAAATATTGGCCCCGTGTAGGCTGCCGATGCACTTTTTCTATTTAATAGAAATGTATTGAATTATTATTGATTTATTACAATTTAATAATTGTGTGGGCTAGCCACTTGTGTGGGCTAGCCTGTGTTGGGCTGGTGTAGGCTAGCCCGTTTAGGGCTGGTGTGGGCTAACCCATGTTGGGTTTGGTTGAACCACAGCTGTCACCCATGCTCTACTCCAGCCCTGGCGGGGCGCTGGTGTGGGCTAGCCTGTTCCCACCTTGCCCACCGAATACCCTGGGCCAATGGGGTGATTTTAGCTGGGTCGTAGCTGACTAACAGTAATCCAAGTGACAGTCCAAAATTACTTTCAAGGAACATGACAAATCGATTAACATGCTTTCCCTATTCTCCGCTAGACAGCTAGAAACAGACAGAAAATCACACATTCACACTCTGCTAGACAGCTAGAAACAGACAGAAAATCACACATTCCGTCTCTCTCGCTCTCTCTGGCACCAATGGCAGTCCCAGATGTACACAGACAGTGACATGGACTCTGACCTGCTCCACCACCTCCAGAGTGTGGCCTCCCTCTCAGCCAGGGACCCAGTTCTGGGGTCCCTGCTTGGTGCTGGTGAAGCTGCCCAGGTTGGTTCCGTTCAGGTTGGCCAGAGAGTCAAAGTTAAAGTCCAGGCCATCTGCGTCCATCAGCTCGTTTCTGATGATGGACTCCATGTCACACTCCAGGCTCCCGTTAAACATGTCCAGGTCCAGGTCGGTGGGAAAGCGGTCGGGGCCTAGCAAGCAGATCCCACCGCTGCCACCAGCGCTCCCGTTCAGGAAGAGAGACGAGTCAATCTGCATCATGGAGGATCCGTTGGATCCAAGTCCCAGTGGAGAGTGCAGGAGCTGCTGCTTGGCGTTGGCCTCGTTGTTCAGGCTCAGACCCCCGTTCAGGGTCCTCAGGGAGCCCTGGATGTGGTTGTGGGGGTGCAAGAGCCCCCCCTGCCCTCCCTGGCCAGCCGCCGTGATCCCAAAGGTCATCATGGGGTCGCTGCGGAGCATGAGGCCTCGCCGGGAGTTCTGGGAGATGACGGCGGCGGCGCTGGCCTGTGACATCAGCGGGTCGGACTGGGTCATCATGACGTCACTGTGGCTGTGGCCCTCTGAGTTGAGCAGGTCCTGCAAGGTCTGGCTGCCGAAGCGGGAGATGCAGGAGAAGGACGTCTGCTTGTTCTCCTGGATGGTCTGCATGGGGGCGGGCCGCAGGGAGGAGCCCGCTGCGAGGGGCCCGAAGATTGTATTATTGTAGCCACCGCTGCTTGCACCATTAGAAGGGGATGCAGCGGAGAGAGGGGTGGCTGAGGAGGGGGAGCCCAGCCCGGCAGGCTTGGAGCCAAAACTGAATCCGGTGGATCCTCTCTGGGTGGTCGGTCCGGTTGGGTTGGGGGCCAGAGTAATGTTATCCAGCAGCTCATCCATCAAGTCATCCGTCAGCCCGTCGTTCAGGTTCATGGTTCCTGCCAGGTCTGCCAGGCGGGGCAGCTCTGCGGGCACTGCCTTCCCATTGGGCGTGGGGGTGTTCCCGGGCGACAGCGCCCCGCCAGGGCTGGAGTAGAGCATGGGTGACAGCTGCGGTTCATCGTCCGGCACCTCGTCCAGCTCTGGGTTGGCCAGGATGGGCGAGAGGCGCCCGCTCAGCGTGCTGGCGTTGGAGTTGGTGCGTGAGCGGAAGTCTGTCCAGGCATCCAGGTCCTCACTGCTCCGTGATGTGGGGCTGCCTGGCCACTTGGAAAGCCCTGAGGGGCTGTCTCCGCCCCCCTCGCCGGCCGCCGCTGCCTGGAGGGCCGCCTTCTTCTTGGCTGCGCGGCCACGGGCAGACTTGGTGTACTTGTTGCTGTTGTCCATGGAGACAGCACGGCGCCGGGGGGCCTTCCCGCCTTTTCCTCCCTCCGGGTTTATCATCCACCAGGAACTCTTTCCCGTTCCCTCGTTCTGGACACGGATGAAACGACTGTGGAGGGAGAGGTTGTGCCGGATGGAGTTCTGTCAGAGAGACAGAGAAGAAAGAGAGAGAGAGAGTTAGAGCGTCCACTACAGTGCTCAAAATCATTGAAAAGTAATTCAGCAAACAATGCATGTAATCAGTATTGAGTCTTCATATTCTTTTTCATTCTCCAATCACTGATTGTATGAATCATGTTCATTAAGTCCAGAAACATTGATTTATAAACCACCCATTGAGTTTGTACTCAATGTTCTTTGGGACTAGTGGTGCTAGAAGCATAAAGCACCAAACCCATTGCTTTGACTGTTCATTCACTGCTGAATGGAAGGCCCCAGATAGCAACACATGAATAACATGCAGCAACCATTAGAGTTGATGTTCCTATTGTTCCCATTGTAGTGTGTGTGTGTATGCGTGTGTGATTTAGTGTGCTCTATCATTAATCACACACATACACACACAAAGGGTCCCCCGCGTAACAGCCGGGTTTTGAAGTGTGTGTGTGTGTGTGTGCGCATGGCAGGGGGATTGTGAGTCATCGCTGGTGTGTATTGATCTGAGATGAGCTCCTTCATGTTCAGAGCAGTGCTGGGAGACACACAGCAGGTAGTGCTTATTCATCATCAAATAATCAAACAGTTTGTTTTCATAGCAGGGATAAGCCTAAATCCGGGATGGGCAACTGGCGGCCTGTGGACCAATATATAAAAAATAAATAATAATACAAATAAAAAACATTGTCAGTGTTTCAACTTACTGTTGAGAGTTAGAAATAGAATAAAATTTTGGTTGTGCATCAGCAGTCACTTAATTAGCCCATATCAGCAAACATGTTTTAGATTGGTAAGTTAGACTAGCGGCCAGCTATCTAAACTTGAAGTAAGCATGGTCGAATTACCGACCGGGGTGGGGCCCACTGATCATCAGCTGGCATGCTTTCATCTACAGTCCCATGGCCCATTCATGATGGAGTAATGAACACACACTCTCTAACCTCACATATCATCACCGGACAAGGGAAGACTGTGCAAGAACAAAGCTCCGGACTCTACTGGTCTATTGGTTACATCCTCTGCACACAGGATGAATGGACATAACTACTTAATGATGTGTGTTATGTGTGGCTTACACATAGAGTGTTGGCTGTGCATGGTTACTCCACAAACAGTACGTTTTATACCAAACATGTTTCAACACACAGAAATCTAGGTCATTTTACTGATTATAAATAGGGAGGCAACCCAAAAGAACTGAACACGTTGAGGTACTGCAATGGATTTACATCTATCCCTCTTTCCTTGTTCCAGTTGCTTTCCAAACATATGGTTCTCTTTGAGCCCTGAGAGAGACTGGGGTTTTGATATATCCATAGATATAAACCCAACCACCATCCAAAACATACCATTTTTTCATGTTATTTATTTGTATGTTTTTTCTCTGCCCCAAAACAGAACCGATTATTGGGTTTGAATCAGAGAGCCAAAGTCGTTTGGGTTTTTGTCGGAATCCAAATATTGTTTTTCCCAACCAATCTCCTCTAACCCTTCCTCTGTTACACTACACTGACGACGTGGATTGGATTGTTATTCTGTTTGGAAAAATAGGAGGGTGTAACGTTGCCTTAGAGAGTTTGTGTGTGAGGGCAATAGTGGTACTGAGTATGCTTTCAATGCCAGGATGTCAGATTCATTCATATTCATTTCGGCTTTTCATCTAGTAGAATTCATTGCACACTATTGAGGAAGAGAATCGTCTTTTCACACCCACGTGTTTTTGACAAATGATTAGATGACACCTTCTCAGTATGGATGAGCAGTATGTTGACATTTGTTGCTTACTGCATAAATTTTTCCTAAACGGTACGTTCTAAATAGTATGTAGTAGTTGTACACAGTGTGTTGTTTCAGTAAGTAGCAGGCAAGACAGATTTCAGGCACGCTGTGTATATGTGTATGTGCGTGTAGGTCTGTCCTATGAAGTAAGATGAGGAGAGATACCAAGGAGACCAGTGTTTACAGCTAGCCAGGCAGCATCTCGCCTCGGTATGACGTAAAGCTTCTTTATTACAGCACCAGAACATACACACTCACACACTAAGTCTTTACAGCTGCTACGCGCTAAATGAAGGGAGGAAGAACGCTTAAAGAAATCGTGAAAGAACTGGATACATCAAATTATAAAGAGGGTGGGGGGATGGGGCGGGGGTGTAACATCTATGGAGGGAGGGAGAGGGAGCGAGAGGGAGAGTGAGCAAGGGAGGGAGAAAAAAAAGAAGGAATAGAGTGAATGGAATCTCTGAGGTTCTCTCCCCCTGTAAACATAAACCTGCCAGTTCCTGACACTTAATACATTCTCCCTCCTTCTCTCCCTTCTTCCATCGCTTTCTCCCCTCCTCCCGCTCTCTGCCAACACTGGAACTCTTTCATATTTCCTCTATTTTCCCCCTCTCTTTTCCGTGCCACTAAAAAGCAATTGTTAAGAGAGAGTGTAATGTGTGTATGTAAGTGTGTGGTTTTGTGTGTGTGTCTGTGTGTGCTTGCGACACAGCAGTGAGAGTACAGTATACTTACTACACTTGCTCCTCTGGGTTATTCCCAAAGCCCATTAAGAAAAACAGTTCACTGAGACAGTAGCTCTGATTCATATCTCTCTCTCTCTCTCTCTCGCGCTCTTTTTGTCTCTCTCTCTCTCTTTCTCATTAGCTCTAATACACACACACACATACGAACACACACACCTAAACTAACTACACAAATACACCTTTTCTCCCTACTACTGACACGACGCATAAATACAATGTATGACTACACATGTACAGTGGGGGAAAAAGTATTTAGTCAGCCACCAATTGTGCAAGTTCTCCCACTTAAAAAGATGAGAGAGGCCTGTAATTTTCATCATAGGTACACGTCAACTATGACAGACAAAATGAGAGAAAAAAAATCCAGAAAATCACATTGTAGGATTTTTAATGAATTTATTTGCAAATTATGGTGGAAAATAAGTATTTGGTCAATAACAAAAGTTTCTCAATACTTTGTTATATACCCTTTGTTGGCAATGACACAGGTCAAACGTTTTCTGTAAGTCTTCACAAGGTTTTCACACACTGTTGCTGGTATTTTGGCCCATTCCTCCATGCAGATCTCCTCTAGAGCAGTGATGTTTTGGGGCTGTCGCTGGGCAACACGGACTTTCAACTCCCTCCAAAGATTTTCTATGGGGTTGAGATCTGGAGACTGGCTAGGCCACTCCAGGACCTTGAAATGCTTCTTACGAAGCCACTCCTTCGTTGCCCAGGCGGTGTGTTTGGGATCATTGTCATGCTGAAAGACCCAGCCACGTTTCATCTTCAATGCCCTTGCTGATGGAAGGAGGTTTTCACTAAAAATCTCACGATACATGGCCCCATTCATTCTTTCCTTTACACGGATCAGTCGTCCTGGTCCCTTTGCAGAAAAACAGCCCCAAAGCATGATGTTTCCACCCCCATGCTTCACAGTAGGTATGGTGTTCTTTGGATGCAACTCAGCATTCTTTGTCCTCCAAACACGACGAGTTGAGTTTTTACCAAAAAGTTCTATTTTGGTTTCATCTGACCATATGACATTCTCCCAATCCTCTTCTGGATCATCCAAATGCACTCTAGCAAACTTCAGACGGGCCTGGACATGTACTGGCTTAAGCAGGAGGACACGTCTGGCACTGCAGGATTTGAGTCCCTTGCGGCGTAGTGTGTTACTGATGGTAGGCTTTGTTACTTTGGTCCCAGCTCTCTGCAGGTCATTCACTAGGTCCCCCCGTGTGGTTCTGGGATTTTTGCTCACCGTTCTTGTGATCATTTTGACCCCACGGGGTGAGATCTTGCGTGGAGCCCCAGTTCGAGGGAGATTATCAGTGGTCTTGTATGTCTTCCATTTCCTAATAATTGCTCCCACAGTTGATTTCTTCAAACCAAGCTGCTTACCTATTGCAGATTCAGTCTTCCCAGCCTGGTGCAGGTCTACAATTTTGTTTCTGGTGTCCTTTGACAGCTCTTTGGTCTTGGCCATAGTGGAGTTTGGAGTGTGACTGTTTGAGGTTGTGGACAGGTGTCTTTTATACTGATAACAAGTTCAAACAGGTGCCATTAATACAGGTAACGAGTGGAGGACAGAGGAGCCTCTTAAAGAAGAAGTTACAGGTCTGTGAGAGCCAGAAATCTTGCTTGTTTGTAGGTGACCAAATACTTATTTCCACCATAATTTGCAAATAAATTCATTAAAAATCCTACAATGTGATTTTTTGGAAATTTTTTCTCAATTTGTCTGTCATAGTTGACGTGTACCTATGATGAAAATTACAGGCCTCTCTCATCTTTTTAAGTGGGAGAACTTGCACAATTGTGGCTGACTAAATACTTTTTTCCCCCACTGTATACACAATGCTAACAAACGCTCATGGCCTTGAACACACACACACAGCTCTCTACAACATCTCCTCAGTTGTCATCTCTTCCCAGGGATAGCTACACTGTTATTCCTCTCCTTCCACGCCTGCTCCGTAGCTAATGTTTAACTGAAAGATTCTTATGTATGTATGTATGTGTGTGTGTGTGTGTGTGTGTGTGTGTGTGTGTGTGTGTGTGTGTGTGTGTGTGTGTGTGTGTGTGTGTGTGTGTGTGTGTGTGTGGACACCAGCTGCAGCCAGAGCTCTGGAGCACAGAGGACTTTTTGTCCGTCAGCAACATGTGGGAACTATTCATCACTGTCAGCAACCACGCTAGGAATCTACACACACACACACACACACACACACACACACACACACACACACACACACACACACACACACACACACACACACACACACAGGAGCTCTCAATTTTTATGAGGGTTGTGTAGGTGGGAGTTCACAATTTGCATTTGTATGTGCTTGTATAAGATAGTAATATTCTAGTAATAATGAGCTCTATCTACCACTAGGAATTGTTTTAGTGGGTTTCATCACCCACTTAAGCCTCATTTCACTGTGTTCTGACAGGATAGGCTGGGTCATTCTGGCCAAGTCTGTGGCCTGGAAGAAAGGGATGAGCGGTCTGTCCTGTCCTAAATCTCTCTGCCCGCCTCCAATCTCTCTGCCTGCCTCCAATCTCTCTACCCCTCCCCTCCTATCTACTACTCCAATCTTTCTCTACCCCAAGAGCTCTCTACCCCTCCCCTCTAACCCCTCCCCTCTAACCCCCTTTCCCTTCTCCTCCCCTGCCTTACTGGTTCAAGCCAAGCCTGAACCATGCCATGCTATCTCTCTCCTAAAAGACCAGCCCTACCCTCCGGGGTTATGCAACACATGCACACACACACAGACTGAGAGCTCTTCACACACTGTATAACAGGAAGTGTCCAGGTCGTGAGGTGAACATCAGGCTGGGGGGGTCAAAGGTTAGAGTGCACTGAGGTCGTTGGTCACTCCTCTTACACCCTTACTCCGCCTCCAGACCTGCTCTGTCAGCTCTGATTGCTTGGGTTCAGTGACCTGAGCCTCATACCTCTGGTTGTACTTTACCTCCCCTGTGTCACTTTAGAGAGAGAGAGAGAGAGAGAGAGAGAGGAGAGAGTGAGAGAGAGAGTGAGAGAGAGAGAGAGGAGAGAGAGAGAGAGATAGAGAGATAGAGAGATAGAGAGATAGAGGATAGAGAGATAGAGAGATAGAGAGAGAGAGAGAGAGAGAGAGAGAGAAGAGATATAGAGAGATAGAGAGAGAGAGAGAGAGAAGAGAGAGAGAGAGAGAGAGAGAGACATGCTTTTCATGTTTTATTTAATTTTTGGTATTCTCTTTGTATTACACATATCTGGTGTATTTCCTATGAGTAATTTGTGTAATTGTAAGATGCAGGGCTCCCTTGCAAATGAGACCTTGGTCTCAATGGGACTCCCTGTCAAATTAAAGGTAAATTATAATAACACAGAGAGAAGGTGCGAGAGAGACAGAAAGAGGGAGAGAGGGCTAACTGTATGTTTTATAAATAAACTCCAGACCCAGCGCAGATACAGAGGACAGGAGAGTTAGAACAAAGTTATTTATATTGTAACCCTCCATGCACGCACACACGCATACATACATACACACACACACAATACACACACTCCTCCCAATTCCAGCTGCCCTGAGTTCTGGAGAGTGAAGAGAACATTCCATTCTGTTCAACCAAATGTGCTCTTTCCGGCCAGGGCTGAGCGTCTCGCCGCTTATTTGTGTGTGTGTGTTTAGGTTGTGTGTGTGTGTGTGTGTGTGTGTGTAAACTGGACAGGGATCAAGTCAGGATTGTGAAAGTGATCACACTGCTCTATTCTGACTTTCTCCTCATTTTCTCTCTCTCCCTCTCGCTCTTTTTCTATCTCTGTCTCTGCACATTGCATTTTTACATTTACGTTTTTACTGATATACTACATTCACACAACAATAGCCCAACCCACAAATAAGTCCACACAAAATATTGCACACATGCACAGGAAACTCTAAAATTGTCCATAGGTCTGTTTCTGTTTGGGTCCCTTTCTCTTTTCACAGTCCAGAGGACATGATCCTTTAAGAATCATGGAACATTCTCCTGCCACTAAGAGGCCTGGCTAATGTGTGGGTCACACACAGGCACACACACACATCCACTCTCCCTCCATACATCCTGTCCTGAGCTCAGTTTACCCTCTGTTTCCTCCAATCAGGACTGCCCTGAGGGGGGGTGTTGGCTGACCAAGCCCACCCTATCTAACCAATCAGAGCCCTAAGAATCAGGCATGTTCTGTCACATTGTCCTGGTGGCTCTCCTGTAGGTCAGTGTGTTTCATGAGGGCAGTCACCTCGTTGCTGAAAACGTGCTTCACTTATGCTGTGGTGAGTTACTGCACACACCCACACACCCACACATCCATTTACACTACCAGTCAAAAGTTTGGACACACCTACTCATTCAAGGGTTTTTCTTTATTTTTACATTGTAGAATAATAGTGGAGACATCAAAACTATTAAATAACACATATGGAATCATGTAGTAAACAAAAAAGTGTTAAACAAATCAAAATATAGTTTATATTTGAGATTCTTCAAATAGCCACCCTTTGCCTTGATGCCATCTTTGCACACGCTTGGCATTCTCTCAACCAGCTTCATGAGGTAGTCCCCTGGAATGCATTTCAATTAACAGGTGTGCCTTCTTAAAAGTTAATTTGTGGAATTTATTTCCTTCTTAATGCGTTTGAGCCAATCAGTTGTGTTGTGACAAGGTGGTGGGGTATACAGAAGATAGCCCTATTTGGTCCATATTATGTCAAGATCAGCTCAAATAAGCAAAGAGAAATGACAGTCCATCATTACATTAAGACATGAAGGTCAGTCAATATGGAAAATGTCAAGAACTTTTAAAGTTTCTTCAAGTGCAGTCGCAAAAACCATCACACGCTATGATGAAACTGGCTCTCATGAGCACCGCCACAGGAATGGAACACCCAGAGTTACCTCTACTGCAGAGGATAAGTTCATTAGAGTTACCAGCCTCAGAAATTGTAGCCGAAATAAATGCTTCACAGAATTCAAGTCACAGACACATCTCAACATCAACTGTTCAGAGGGGACTGTGTGAATCAGGCCTTCATGGTCGAATTGCTGCAAAGAAACCACTACGAAAGGACACCAATAAGAAGAAGAGACTTGCTTGTGCCAAGAAACAAGAGCAATGGACATTAGAACGGTGGAAATGTGTCCTTTGGTCTGGAGTCCAAATTGGAGATTTCTGGTTCCAACCGCCGTGTCTTAGTGAGACGTGGTGTGGGTGAACAGATGATCTCCGCATGTGTAGTTCCCACCGTAAAGCATGGAGGAGAAGGTGTTATGGTGTGGGGGTGCTTTGCTGGTGACACTGCCTGTGATTTATTTAGAATTCAAGGCACACTTAACCAGCATGGCTACCACAGCATTCTGCAGCGATACGCCATCCAATCTTGTTTGGGCTTAGTGGGACTATCATTTGTTTTTCAACAGGACAATGACCCAACACACCCCCAGGTTGTGTAAGGGCTATTTTACCAAGAAGGAGAGTGATGGAGTGCTGCATCAGATGACCTGGCCTCCACAATCCCCCGACCTCAACCCAACTGGGATAGTTTGGAATGAGTCGGACGGCAGAGTGAAGGAAAAGCAGCCAACAACTCCTCAGCATATGTGGGAACTCCTTCAAGACTGTTGGAAAAGCATTCCAGGTGAAGCTGGTTGAGAGAATGCCAAGAGTGTGCAAAGCTGTCATCAAGGCAAAGGGTGGCTATTTGAAGAATCTCAAATATAAAATATATTTCGATTTGTTTAACATTTTTTTGGTTACTACATGATTCCATATGTGTTATTTCATAGTTTTGATGTCTCCACTATTATTCTACAATGTAGAAAATAGTAAAAAAATAGAAAAACCCTTGAATGAGTAGGTGTGTCCAAACGTTTGACTGGTAGTGTACATACATTTCTACAGTGTGCGAATGTGTTCACAACATACACAGCACATTAAACATACACACAGACCGTTTGAAACAAAAAGTGTGCGCGCACATACACAACCGCACGCGCGCACACGCACACACACAGCTTAGCTCCCTTACTGTAGCTCCCCACTGAACAGCACAGAGTCTCAAATCTACCCAAAGCTGAGAGAGCCAGCTCCTCTCAGCAGTAAAGAACATCACGTACAATACCCTGTGCGTTCATTAGTGAACCGTTCAGTATGGTTCACTACGGGATGTTACAGTTGGCTTGGGGATGCCACGGCCTTGCAGATATAGAGAGAGAGACATAAAGAGACAGAGAGCGAGAGAGAGAGAGAAAGAGAGAGAGAGAGAGAGAGAGAGAAAGACGAGACAGATAGACAGACCAACAGACAAGCGCACCAAAACAAACAAATGGCTTGCTTCAGATGTAGAAAGACTCTAACAAAGATATATTTATTCTGTCTCTGGAACAGTATGTCTCTATTATGAGGCTCATCCAACAGTTCTCTCCCCTTAGAAAGATCTGTTCAGTGGCCATCCACAACTCCCATAGTGTTTAAATAACTCAATATCGAGAGCGGTATTTAAAGTCTGCTAACTTCTGATGTGTGCAGGGTGTATTTTGGTTTGCCATCTCCAGACCTAGCACCATGACGTGAGCTCGTGGTGTGAGTATACAGCCTGTCCTGTTTACTAACTAACACACCATCTATTTCAACATTTCACATCTAAAAATAGAGAGCTCGATCAGAGTGCAAGTCAGCCTGGATAATCATGTGATGGCCCTGGCCTATGAGTGAACTAAGAACACACACACGCACAGACTGAGACAGAGAACATACTGGTCTAGAGAGAGAATTATAAACTAACTGAATAAATGCGTTAACAAAAACAATAGGGCGGTCCATCAGAGGCACGCTGTCTCGGGAGCGTCGCACTGTAACCACACACACACACACACTTTTCCACATGGATAATTGATTAATGAGATCTGTGGAGTGTGTGTGTGTGTGTGTATGTGGGTGCTCTGGAGATTCAGAGAAGCATGATGCCTACATGATTAATTACTATGAGGTAGGGAATGCAAATGTCAGAGAAGTCTGTGGGAGGGAAGGAAGAAGGGTGAGTGTTTTTATGTTTAGACCGGGTGAGTGGTTGGCTGAGGTTTACTACCACTGTAAACATTGCCCTGCCCTGGTTGTTTCACACGTGTGTGTGCGCCCCCTCCCTAAATACCGACCTCCCTCCTTTCCCCGTACCCCCTGCAATGCTTCTGATTTCCTAACCGCTTCCCGAAAACGACACCATTCCACCCCCCTATGTGTCTTCTCATTTTTTCAACCATTCCCGGATATTAGGCCTTGTTAATTCCATCTCCCCCACCCACACACACATACTAAAACATACACAGCCACAGACACAGTTAAAATATACAGCCTCAGTCACACACACACGCACACACACACACACATTGTTCAGCAACAGTGCCATTCTCTGACCCTCTCTCTGCGTTTCAGCACGTCCTCACCGTCCATCGTCATTATGTCACCCTCCCTGATTTATCCCTCCCTGTGTGTGTTTGTGGTCTTGTTCTCCTAGCCTTGTGGGGACCTGAAATCCCCAAAAGTCCCCACAAAGATAGTAAAACAAGGAAAATTCTCTCTCGTGGGGACATTTCCCACATCCCCCCGAGGGCAAAAAGGCTATTTTAATCTTAGGGCTTAAGTTTAGGGTTAGGGTTACAATTAGGGTTCTGGTTACAATTAGGGTTTAGGGTTAGGCATTAGAGTTAGGTTTAGGGGTTAAGGTTAGGGTTAGGTTTAGGGTTAGGGGTAAGGCAAAATATGATTATTTTTTTGTAGGTCCCCTACGAGGATAGAAAAACAAGTGTGTGTGTGACATTGAGGCGTTCGGACTCTTTGATCCTGTGTTTCCATAACACACTCTCCTGTCACCTACACCCATCCAGTGCTTTCTTTGTCTAGGTCAGATGGAAGGGTAGCAACAGCTGAAGTAAGGTATGTTGATGTTTGGTTCAGTTCAATTCAATGACCTATATAACCTCCAGCTAGCTAGTACTAGAGACTGGAGGCAGTAGGCCAGAACTCCTCAGTTTAGTTGTCTCAGTATCGAACGTTTTCACATGTGAGTTCCAAATATCTCTAACGACCACCCCAGCGTGAGTTGTTTTATGCACGTGATGTCAGAATGCACTCACTGTTCCAAAATGTGATTGTTACGCAACAGGAAAGTTAACACGCGCTGCCTGCTAATTATCTATAGGCTATGCTTCAATTTCAAATTATTTTCTAACAAGTTTTATTTTTTAACAACAGTTTGAATTGATTCACATAGAAGTAGCCCATTTCAGTGTTGCGGACAATTTATGTTTGAGGCTTTACTGAGCCGGACAAACTTCTCTCTTCGAGGAGATCCCAAGCACGTCTTCACCAATGTTTCCACAGATCAAGTATGCAGACATTTACGCAGTTTTGCACGAATTGGAAAATGTTCTGTCTGGCGCTCGCATTGCCTTGTTGTTTTCCTTACAAATAATAACTTTGGACATGTGTGCGTTCCTATCAAACAAAGTAAGTGCCTTCTTTTCTGTATATCGTGTTGTCATTTACTGTAGCATACAGTTTGTATGTACACTACCGTTCAAAAGTTTGGGGTCACTTAGACATTTCCTTGTTTTCGAAAGAAAAGCAATTTTTTTGTCCATTAAAATAACATCAAATTGATCAGAAATACAGTGTAGACATTGTTAATGTTGTAAATGGCTATTGTAGCTGGAAACGGCAGATTTTTTATGGAATATCTACATAGGCGTACAGAGGCCCATTATCAGCAACCATCAGTCCTGTGTTCCAATGGCACGTTGTGTTTGCTAATCCAAGTTTATAATTTTAAAAGGCTAGTTGATCATTAGAAAACCCTTTTGCAATTATGTTAGCACAGCTGGAAACTGTTGTGCTGATTAAAGAATCAATAAAACTGGCCTTCTTGAGACTAGTTGAGTATCTGGAGCAAACACAACGTGCCATTGGAACACAGGACTGATGGTTGCTGATAAATGGGCCTATGTACGCCTATGTAGATATTCCATTAGAAATTAGCCGTTTCCAGCTACAATAGACATTTACAACATTAACAATGTATACACTGTATTTCTGATCAATTTGATGTTATTTTAATGGACAAAAAAATCGCTTTTCTTATGAAAAGAAGGAAATTCTAAGTGACCCCAAACGTTTGAACGGTAGTGTATGTATGTTTTGTATGTATGGAGCATAATGTATTTACAGTTTTATTCACATGTTTTCAAGTACTGGTGACAAATCATGCATTCCGATTCTTGCATAGATTGTAATGGACACCTATGATGTGTGTAAAATACTTTTTTGAAGGTTCTACTGATTATAATGAGCTTAAGCTATTTGCCAGCTATGTGTGGCGCCATGTTAGTTGACATTATACAATGCATTCTGGGTGTCACGTAAACGTCTGTCAGACCAATGATGTTATAATGAGGTGAAGGGTAAACTTCCGGAAGTGAATGAAGGGAAGTGAATGATGGTAGAAGACACACCCCCTTCAACATGCATACTGCAAACAGACCAAACTCATCTTGTCTCCTCTTATTATTTTTGGTTGACGCAACAACAAAAAACATGGCGGCGCGCACAAACTACCCATCGCCGGATTACTTTCGATTTCTAGAAAGTGTTTAACTCAATTATTTTGATCAATGGTGAGCTCACCCGTGATGTGATGAATTATAAATAGTATTTGCTATTAGCTAATTCATATTGTTGTTTCGGACAGCTGAGAGTTATCTAAATATGACCGCTTGTGTTACGTCAATCTTTCCTCAGTTAGCGTTAGGTCTAATGTAGCCTACATTTTCCGGTTTGGATGATTGTGTATGCTGTTGCTAATTCTGTGAATGTCTGAACATTGCATCCAAAAAATTAACTGGTCACATTCAGGACATAACTTTGTAAGGACTGTGTTTGTGCAAAATGTTTCTGTGAAAAAACTCAAATGCTGATTGTTACGTCAATCAAACTGGACGTTCTAAATAATAATTCTAATCACACCGGTTTGAGCATACGCTGCAGGGACCACTGTAGAATGATCACACCCGTTTGTTGGTACGTGTGAAAAGGTTAAAACATGAATAAATCTATGTACACCAGTATATATTTGACTGGTGGTAAGTGTAGCTCCAGTGTGTAGGAGGATGCAATCTTTGACATGACATGTAGTGTATGCGTTTGACTGGGAGCGGTGTAGTGTGTGTGTTTAGGGGCCTGGGGTGCGTTCCTCTGGTGCTCTAGAGGAGCTGGAGGCTAGAGATTAGTCCAGGGGCCCCTAGCTAGCTATCTTCCTGGGGCTCCGGTCTACTGTTACTGGGTCTGGTTCAGTCTATAAACAGCCTGGACGTACAGAGTACGCTAACTACAGCAACACACACACAAACAGAGATACATACAGCTTGTTCAGGAACATGGTAAAGACATTATATGAATGAGAGGTTACCATAACTAAACAAGTGCTGTCCTTGTTATCTGGTAGTTTTCATTCTTGCCCACACCTAATGGCTCATATAATAATTATCTCTGTGAATGAGTTTCATCATATCTCTTTGAAAGAGGGTTTGTTTGATGCAGACTCAGGTTTGACTGGTCTGAGGCTTTCTCTGTATATGTGAAATGTCAGAGCTGTAATGTTAAAGGGATACTGCTAGCAGATACCCATAGACTTCCAATCATTGCGCTAATGCTAGTTAGCATTAGCTCATGAAACTGCCTCTAACTTCCTTCATACTGGACACAGAGACATAAAAATGGTATCCAAGATATTGCCAAAACCCCGAAAAAATCCCTTTAAGTGTCAGTAAGGGTCACTGAGGGCCTGTTGTCTGGACATCTGGCAGTCTCTATGGGGGTGCCACAGGGTTCAATTCTCAGGCCGACTCTATTCTCTGTGTATATCAATGATGTCGTTCTTGCTGCTGGTGACTCTCAGATCCACCTCTACGCAAACAACACCATTTTGTATACATCTGGCCCTTCATTGGACACTGTGTTAACAAACCTCCAAACAAGCTTCAATGCCATACAACACTCCTTCCGTAGCCTCCAACTGCTCTTAAACACTAGTAAAACTAAACGCATGCTCTTCAATCGAACGCTGCTTGCATCCGCCCGCCCGACTAGAATCACTACTCTCGGCGGGTCTGACTTAGAATTGGTGGACAACTACAAATACCTAGGTGTCTGGTTAGACCGTAAACTCTCCTTCCAGACTCACATTAAGCATCTCCAATCCAAAGTTAAATCTAGAATCAGCTTCCTATTTCGCAACAAAGCCTCCTTCACTAATGCTGCCAAACATGCCCTCGTAAAACTGACTATCCTACCGATCCTTGACTTCGGCGATGTCATTTACAAAATAGCCTCCAACACTCTACTCAGCAAATTGGATGTAGTCTATCACAGTGCCATCCGTTTTGTCACCAAAGCCCCATATACTATAATAATAATAATATAATATGCCATTTAGCAGACGATTTTATCCAAAGCGACTTACAGTCATGCGTGCATACATTTTTTTGTGTATGGGTGGTCCCGGGGATCGAACCCACTACCTTGGCGTCACAAGCGCCGTGCTCTACCAGCTGAGCTACAGAGGACCACATTGTGACCTGTATACTCTCGTTGGCTGGCCCTCACTACATATTCGTCGCCAAACCCACTGGCTCCAGGTCATCTATAAATCACTGCTAGGCAAATCCCCACCTTATCTTAGCTCATTGGTCACCATAGCAACACCCACCCGTAGTCTGCGCTCCAGCAGGTATATCTCACTGGTCATCCCCAAAGCCAACACCTCCTTTGGCCACCACTCCTTCCAGTTCTCTGCTGCTAATGACTGGAACGAACTGCAAAAATCTCTGAAGCTGGAGACTCTTATCTCCCTCACTAACTTTAAGCATCAGTTGCCAGAGCAGCTTACCGATCACTGCACCTGTACACAGCCCATCTGTAATTAGCCCACCCAACTACCTCATCCCCATATTGTTATTTATATTGCTCATTTGCACCCCAGTATCTCTATTTGCACATCATCTTCTGCACATCTATCACTCCAGTGTTAATACTAAATTGTAATTATTTTGCACTATGGCCTATTTATTGCCTTACCTCCATAACTTACTACATTTGCACACACTGTAGATATATTTTATATTGTTTTATTGACTGTATGTTTTTGTTTATCCCATATGTAACTCTGTGTTGTTGTTTTTATCGCACTGCTTTGCTTTATCTTGGCCAGGTTGCAGTTGTCAATGAGAACTTGTTCTCAACTGGCCTACCTGGTTAAAAAAAAAAAAAAAAAAAAAAAAAAATACATTTCAAAAAATGGCTGACTCTGGTTCAGTTTATCTCAAACATGCCTGACCCTGACCTACATTCACCCCCTGCACAATAACTTTCTGCTCCGTTTCAGTGTGTGTGTGTGTGTGTGTGTGTGTGTGTGTGTGTGTGTGTGTGTGTGTGCGTGCTGCTGACGACCCAATCTTCACCCATCACATCCATCGTCCATAACAAACAGGGCAGGCAGGAGTATTGAGGGTGTCAAATAAATAAAATACATTTTTTATTAAAGATTGGCCTACATTTGCATCTTTATAGAAAACGTGTTGTGATTAGAGCTCTGGATTTGCTATGCTGATTTTTTAAAACAGAAATAGCAGAGATGTGAAAGAAAGAGCTGAGGTAGTTCAGCCTCATTAGATGTCACAGGACTCACAGAACATCAAAGACCACCTCCAGGACTGGCCTGGGGTCTGTGTGAGGTGGAAGGGAGTGTGTGTGTGTGTGCGAGCGCGTGTGTGTGTGTGTGTGCGTGTGCGCGTGTGTGTGTGTGTGTGTGTGTGTGTGTGTGTGTGTGTGTGTGTGTGTGTGTGTGTGTGTGTGCGTGCGTGCGTGCGTGCGTGCGTGCGTGCGTGCGCGTGCGTGCGTGCGTGTGTGTGTGTGTGCGCCCGTGCGTGTAATTGAGAGACAGAGTTTCAAGGCAAAGTTGATGGCCTGGGTTTGTTACCGTTGAGATGTTGACATTCCTTGTTTACTGTAGATGTGTGCAAACCTGGTGGCCAACTATAAGAAACGTCTGACCTCTGTGATTGCCAACAAGGGTTTTGCCACCAAGTACTAAGTCATGTTTTGCAGAGGGGTCAAATACTTATTTCCCTCATTAAAATGCAAATCTATTTATAACATTTTTGACATGCGTTTTTCTGGATTTTTTTGTTGTTATTCTGTCTCTCACTGTTCAAATAAACCTACCATTAAAATTATAGACTGATTATTTCTTTGTCAGTGGGCAAACTTACAAAATCAGCAGGGGATCAAATACTTTTTTCCCTCACCGTATACATATATATTGATATATATACACTGATACGGATCAGGTAATGACTACAGATATGATACATTTCTGAAAATATGTGGATTCGTTCATGCCTAAGTATAACGGCTTAGATTAGTCAGCATGTTGACACATACCCTTTCCAGAGTTAGAACGTTCTACAAATATGTAAGCGGATGCAGGCGCATCAGGTGCGTGTCTTGCATGTACCTCACCACAGATATCTCCCTGGACTCCCTAGCTCCGTAAATGAAATTAAGGACATGCGTATCTGGAGCATGTCTACTCCTTATATCTAATAAAATATATAGATATAGATATCCCCTGATATTGACCCTGTTTGCCCAGTGTGTGGTCTCACATCCTCGGACAGATGCCTATTGGCCTCAGTGTGACCTCATGCATTCCTATTTCCATTAGGCAGGTCAACCAGGCCCAGCCAGCCACTAGCTAGGCCAAGCCAGTACATAGCACGTGCAGCCAGCAACCACCAGCCTCACACACAGCCAGCAGCTGAAATACCCACAGCAAAAGGGAAGTGGTCATGTATTTATTCACAGACAGGTAGTTGCAGTCAGTCAGTCGGTGGCTTGGGTCATGAGTGCTGTGAAAGAAAGAGCTGAGGTAACTTAGCCTCACGCGATGTCACAGGACTCACAGAACATCAAAGACCACCTCCAGGACTGGCCTGGGGTCTGTGTGAGGTAGAAGGGAGTGAGTGTGTGTGTGTGTGTGTGTGTCTGCATAGGCTCAATGTGTGCTGAGCTCAGCACTTTCAAGCCTGTCAGTTCCATTCCTCCCCCACACAAGCTGAGCAGCTGCGGGGGAGATGGAAAAATGTGCAACAGCGAGCCTTTATCAGCAACACCCACGCACACACACAGCATTGCACACACACACACACACACACACACACACACACACACACACATATCCCGTTGCTGTCCCAGCAACAGTGGGCCTTTTCCTTAGTTCCTAGGCTACACCCTTCTGGGGAGGGTCACATGATTTCCTGTTCTACTGTGACCGAGTGCAGTGAGGTGCGGTGACTGTTGATACTCTATTATTTTCCCAATTCCTCACCCCCTTTTTGTCCATCTCTCTCCATCCTACCTCTCTCTTTTCTCCTCTCTCCCACCTATCTTCCTATCACTCTCTTCCTTCACCCTCTGTTCGATTCATTCACTCCCCTCCATCCTAAATCCTCTCTTCTCCTCCTTCCCCCTCTCCTGTGGCTATGTGACTGAGTCAGTAGGAGATGAAAGACAAGATTCTCTCTCTGAGGCCCAGTCTTAGAAGTAAAGCTATTGTTCCATGACTGCATGACCCACTACGGTGTGTATGTGTGTGTGTGTGTGTGCGTATGCGCATGTGTGTAGGCTATAAGGATCCATGTGCGTGTGAGCATATGTCTGTGTTTGTATGTGTGCGAGAGTCTTAGCTAAGCGAATTAATCACTGCAACATGACGGCAGAGAAAGCCATGTGTTCCTGTTGTCGCGACACTCTGCAAGTCAGCTTATATCTGCACGTCCCTCCCTTCATCCATCTATCCCGCTCTCCTGTACTCTCTCTTGTTATATCACTCTACCGCTCCAGCCCATACAGATGCTACTGGACTGCCTATTTATTGTTACTGCACAATGTCTATTTATTGTTACTGCACAATGTCTATTTATTGTTGCACTATCTATTGCACAATCCCCCGGCACATATAAATATACTATTTTTATTCATCAAGCTTCTATTGTTATTTCATTGCATTTCATTGCACTGTGTACTCCATGTATATCATGTGTATATGACAAATAAACAAACTTGAACTTGATGTGTGTGTGTTTGTTTGTTTGAGAGAAAGGGTGCGTGTGCGTTAGTGTGTGTGTGTGTGTGTATCCCAAAGGAACTGTATTTTTCCCTCTTCACCCACACACTGAACTTAATAACCCCCTGGTAGAGAGGGCTAAATGAGGGGGTATTCTGGCTCTCTGTTCCCCAGGATTGAGAGGCTTAACTGGGGACACGGGAGGCCCTCTCCTCCCTCCCTCTCTTTGTCCCTGCTCTCTCAGGCACTCACAGCTTAGTGACACTCTGCGTCATACAAGACAAAACACACATGCAGATGCAGACACACACACAACACACACACACTACTTACTGTTCACGGTTATTAAGAAACCCCGGCCCATACATACACACACCGCATATGGCTACACCTGTGTTCCTGAACACACAGGCCCCCACACACACGCACACACTGCTGTCCCCTCCCTCCAGTAGAGGTATTTTCCCCACACACAGCACTTTGTCTTTGCCTTTATATTTCCCCTCTATTAATAGACTGTAAGGAGGCACTGTCACTGGCAGCTTCCCTACTACCCCTCCTTTCCGCTTCTCCAATCTGCACCCATCACATCCATCGTCCATAACAAACAGGGCAGGCAGGGGTATTGAGGGTGTGCAACTTTTATTTTCTATGAAATAAAATATATGTGTTATTAAAGAGTGGCCTGCGTGTGTGTGAGAGAGAGATGTGTCTATGTGTATCAGTGTGTGTGATCCTTACTGGAGACAAAGAGACTCACAACAGCAGCTCAGCAGCTAACCCGGGCTATGCCTGATAGAATTACCCAGAGTTACCTGCCCCTGACATAGTGACATCCCCCAACATCACCCCATTCCCTCTGTTCTATGTGCCTCTCGCTCTCTCTCTCTCTCTCTGATAATAAAAGCAGTCTGGTGGCACTGGCTGGCAGAAGGCCAAGTTCTCTGCTCTCTGTCCCCTCTTTCTACCTCTTTTCTCAGTGGAGAACAATCACTCACTCTGCCTCCCTCGTATTCTCTCTCATACACACACACACAGAGGTGACGCTGAAAAGCTTTGAGGCCCAGTGAGTCTCAAAGAGGTGTGTCTGGTAATCCCTCAGTGTGTATGTGAAGGCCTCGTAAACCGGAGAGTGAAAAAAGAAAGAAAGACTGAAAAGAAAGAGTGAAAAAAAGACAGAAAGAAAGCGCTGACAAGCTTTTTGACTGAGAGGGCCTCTTTTTATTTTGGGGGGGGGGGGGGGGGGAGAGAGAGAGGGATTACTCTGAATATCACACATGGACATTTCCTATGGCCGGATATGGACTCATTCAATATCCTGAGATATGTGACATCCTATTTCCTTTCTTTATGTTGGCAAATACTGACTGTATACATCGCATATCTGTGTTTTATTTATCTTTTTATTACTGGTTAATATAAACTAGCTAGCTAACTCACTTAGCTATCTAGCTAACTAGCAACTTGGCTAGCTAGCTTGTTCCAGTAAATTTTCTCGTCATGAATGAAACCGGTAGAGTAGCTACCTTGTGGTATGGTTATGTGAAATGACAATATTTTCTTGCAATATCGACACAATTTTAATTCATGATTTACGCATTGACAGTTTGGAGTGGATCACAGACCACCCCCTTGGGTCTAGACTGCTAGGGACTGCTGCAGACGACCCAATCTTCACCCATCACATCCATCGTCCATAACAAACAAGGCAGGCAGGAGTATTGCGGGTGTGCAACTTTTATTTTCTGTTAAATAAATAAAATACATGTTTTATTAAAGATTGGCTTACGTTTGCATCTTTACAGAAAACGGGTTGTGATTAGAGGTCTGGATTTGCTATGCTGATTAAAAAAAAAAGAAATAGCAGAGATGTGAAAGAAAGAGCTGATTAGATGTCACAGGACTCACAGAACATCAAGGACCACCTCCAGGACTGGCCTGGGGTCTGTGTGAGGTGGAAGGGAGTGTGTGTGTGTGTGTGTGTGTGTGTGTGTGTGTGTGTGTGTGTGTGTGTGTGTGTGTGTGTAATTAAGAGACAGAGTTTCAAGGCAAAGTTGATGGCCTGGGTTTGTTACCGTTGAGATGTTGACATTCCTTGTTTACTGTATGTATGTTGACTGTATGTTATGTGTGTGAGTCACCACACGTGTGTTTGCATTGTCTGAAGTAGATCGCCCAACACGTTGCATCATCCTCAGCGCTTCTGGCGGGTAGGAGCATTGAGCCAGTAACCGAAAGGTTGCTGGATCGAATCCCCGAGCTGACAAGGTAAAAATCTGTCGTTCTGCCCCTGAGCAAGGCAGTTAACCCACTGTTCCCCGGGCGCCGATGACGTGGATGTCGATTAAGGCAGCCCCCCGCACCTCTCTGATTCAGAGGGGTTGGGTTAAATGCGGAAGACACATTTTAGTTGAATGCATTCAGTTGTACAACTGACTAGGTATCCCCCTTTCCCTTTCAACATAGACTTTGTTGCTGGACCAGAAGAGTTCTAAATCAACATGGTAGTAAGCTTTTGGTTGTCCAGACTGGAGTATCTCTTTTTTTCTATTTTGCTTTGTTTTCCTACAGTCAGACAGATAGAGCCCCAGAGTAAAAGGCTGCCGTCTGGCCCTGTTGTATTTTACAGTAAATTGGGTCCCTCTCTGGCTGACTAACACACTGAGTGGGTAAAGTCAGGTTAAAGTTAACAGGCGCTAAGTGTGTGTGTGTGTCTGCCAGCCTACTGAAAAATACAACGCCAGCCACACCAGGGGAGGGGTCTGTCTCTGTGTGTCTCTCTGTGTGTGTGTGTGTGTGTGTGTGTGTGTGTGTGTGTGTGTGTGTGTGTGTGTGTTTGTGTGTGTGTGAATTACTTAGACAGGCAGGAATGTACTGTATTACATTGGGAAGGGGGAGGCATTTAATATGAAGTGAGTGTAATGTACTAGGCTAAATGAGGGTCTTTTAATTTGAAATAGTGAGGGGAGTGTACATTTGCAGACTTGAAGAGTGGAGCACATGACTGTGGGGGACTTTTAATGTAAAGTATGCAGACAGGCAGCGCGGGTGCAGATGGCCTAGTAAAGTGAAGGGTATACTCAACTTTATTTTGTTTGCTTTTTCCTGTCTGGGTGTCTGGGTTAGACTACCATGGGTACTGCCTAGTGACCGGGGCTGAGGGGGGCAAGTGTGTGTGTGCCTGGGGTAGAAGGGGTAGAGGTAGGAAGGAGAATTTGGGAAAGTGTGAATAATTCAGCTCCCAAAGCTTAGCAGTACAGAAGGCAGCAGCCATGAACAGTCAGTCTACCAACTCCTCCTCAGGCACTTCACAAGAGGAAGGGGCTGTGCCATAAGGGGGACAGGGAGTAAGAACGCCATGAGGGCCATCAGGATGTTGCTGATTGGAGGAGGCAAAACAGATCCCTGTGTACGGAATGTGGGAGAATGGATGTATGGTTTTCAAGGAAAAATAACAAGCTGCTCTCCCTCTCTGTGCTCTCGCCTTCTGCTCTCTCCATTCTCAAAGGTATCTCATTCTATGCCCCTCTGCTTTCCCCTTTCAAGGACTGCCCTTCTCTACCTCTCTCCCACTCTGACAGACAGAGAACGTCCACTGCAGTTCTTATAGTGGTAGACAGTCTATAGTTTTCTCCAGTGATGTTCAGATTGCTGTGTGTGTGTGACTGAGACTGACTGACACTCTGTCCTATTGCACCCAGCAGTACAGCAGGGCACAGCACATTGTGGCATTCCCCTCCCCCACCTTCCCTTACTTCACTCTCCTCCTCCTTCCTCTCTTCTGTTAAAACCCCTTCTTCTTTCCCCCTTTCCTCCTTTTGCCTCAGTCTCTCTTACCTCGGTTAAAAAAACGGCGAAGCTGGAACGCAGCCAATTAACCCAACAGGCCAGTTCACAGAGCTGTGCAGAGGAGTGGAGGAGGGGGGAGAGAGAGAGGGAACGAGAGAGCAGCAGAGCTTACATAGCTACACACTGACCTACATACGTTTCCACCCAGCTGATTGAGTCTTACGCTGAGGCCTCCGGCCAATCATGGGCAGGGATGGAGTGCCAGCCAGCCAATTGCGTGGGCCGCCCAGAGCTCCGCAGTCTTTACAGTTTTCAGTAATCACACACGGAGAAAGAGAGCGAGAGAGTGCGAGGGAGAGCTCTACAGATGAAAGAGGCAGGAAAAACAAAGGGAGTGAGGGGAGGGAGAGAGAGAGGTGGACAGAGAGGGAAAAAAAGAGACAGAAAAAGATTGGGGAAGCTCAATGTGGCCCAGACAGACAAATATAAATGGATATACGGCAGTAGTGCGACTGGCTGCAGACAGACAGACGAGGGATCATTCTAGCTAATGCTAAAGAGTGGATTACCACCCTATATCTGTCCCTGTTCCTTTCCCTGCCCACAGGCTAAGCTAAGGTTAGCCTTTTCTGGCCTAGCACAGTCTGTGCCCTGCCCTCCCTGGGTCATAGAGCTTTCACATGGGCCTTTAAGACCAAAAATATCAACTATTAAAAGAGTGAGCCAAGAATAGTTTGGGCTCTCATGAAAACAAGTTAGTCTAAATGGGTTCATGGGCCTTAGGGACTTACACTATGATGACAAAGTGGTTTGGTAGGTTCCAATCTCTATTCAACATGAGTGTCCGTACACATACCATCCATTGGTTTCTCCGCATCTATTCCTGGCATCTAGACCTTACTGACTGTGTGTGTGAGTGTTTGTATATGTCTGTGTACAGTCCATGGGTACAGTAAACAGGTTAGGGTGTGTGCATGCAGACTGTTTGCAGCCAGCTTGTTACATGACATGGCTGTCTGTGTTTGGTGTTCAAACTAAGCTGAGACTGACAACAGAAACAACTGACTCATTTCACTGTGCATACATAGAGAGAGAGTTGCAGACAGACACTGTACACAGCTCAGTCAGCATAGAGCGCACGTCAAACAGCATGCTGGCCTGGCTCTACCCAGTACCCACACACACACTCCTCAATATTGTGAAACCACCACAAGACAGACTGGTATGGATGGTACTGAAAAGTCACACTGGGGCCCATCAGAGGTGGCAGTGGTGGCACTATCACCTAATAACATCACTTAATTCACTCGGTCTCTCTTTGTCTAGGCTATTTTCCTCTTTCCTTCGCCATGCCATCCCTCTTTCTGCCATTGTACAAATGTTTCTCTCTTGCACTCTCCATCTCTTTCCCAAACAAAATATTTCATTCTAATGTATTACAATCGTTAATGACACTAAAACCAACCTCCCTTTAAGCAGAGGCATCCTGTAATTGAAGCTGAATGAGATTGCAGATAAATAAAGAGAACCGTCACAATGATAAAGAGTGACGGACAGGACCAACAGTTTGTTGATGGAGCCAGTGTGCTGCTAGTTGAATAGGAGAGGTTTAATCTGGCTAGGCATGGCAGGGGCTCCTGTGGCACGCTATTTTGTTCTGTGCCCCTTTCTATTTACAAAGAAAAACCAGGCATCTTTCTGCTGCGGCTGCAAAAAAAGGCACAAAAGTCGGATAAGAAAAGGGAAAGAAAAACAAACAGAAGGAAGGGGAGGGAGTGGGGGTGAGAGAGGGAGAGGGAGAGAGGGAGGGAGAGGGGGAGAGAGGGAGGGAGAGGGGGAGAGAGGGAGAGAGGGAGGGAGGGGAGCGAGGGAGGGAGAGGGAGGAGGGAGGGAGGGACGAAGGAGAGGAGGGAGAGGGATGAGAGGGAGGGAGGGGAGATAGAGCGGGGGATGGGAGAGGGGAGAAAGGGAAGGCGAGGGGAGAAGAGAGGGATGGAGGACGAGGGAGAAGAGAGAGGTGAACGGGAGAAGAGGGAGAGAGAGGGAGGCGAGGGGAGAGGAGGGAGAGAGGGAGGGAGGGAGAGAGAGGAGGGAGAGAGGGAGGGAGGGGAGAGAGAGAGGAGGGAGAGAGGGAGAGAGGGGAGAGAGGGAGGGAGAGGGAAAGAGGGCAATCCTCTGCAACTGTACTGCACTACTACTGTAGAAGTGCCATTTTGCAAGTGCCAGCTTCTGTATCATGATAAAAAAACACATCACTACTATAAAACAGTTTGTTCCAGTCTAGATAGATAGATAGATAGATAGATGGCATCAGCTGGTCACATCTGAGTCCATTAGAGAAGCCTTGGTATTACCGGGACAGTAGACAACCTGGCCTAACAACAGGCTCTGTGTCTGGGTAGAACAACGTCCAATGTGCCTTGGGGCTCTGGAGCGATTTCATGCCCCCATAAGCAATGAACCACACACAGATCTCTCCTTTCTCCCTGGCAGGGCTCTAAATAAATAAATAAATCATTGGTAGCACTAGTGCTCACAACTTCAAAAAGTTAGGAGCACCACATGAAATTTAGGAGCACCAGAAATAATTGTTTTAATTGATTGAGATACAGCCTATATTGGGCCTATATGAATTCTATCTACTTTTGAAGCACATGTTGTGCCCTAGAAACTCTCTTTAAAAAACGTCAGGTTTGTGATGGGAACATGCAAGATATCTGTCATTCATTCATTTCTATGATCATTGATCTCCTGAAGAAGCTATCCTGTTTCCTTTCTTTCTGTGCGACCAAATGTTTGCATATACTGGTAAAGTTACCAGGTTGTTAGCTAGCTAGTCAATGAGGTAACATGACTGAACAAAGAGTAAACAAATGGTTAACGACGTCGACGTGCGAGTGTTTTAGAACTGCACACAGCATGGTTTATGCAGTAGCAGTGCATGGGTAAAATCATTGTGGAAGTCAAGCTAGTAAAAACAAAACATATTATAACCTGTGTGTTGTGATAATTGCGTTGTTTGCTCTGTAACCTGTTAGTTCATATGCCTTGCCACCGTGATATATAGGCTATCTATGGCTGAGACAATAAGAAGACACAGTGGCAGAATAAATTCAACCACACCTTTGTTTCATCACAAAACCGGAGAGCAACATCTGTCCGGTGGAGTCCACAATGTGATGAGTGTGATGGAAGGAGTCAGGTGCAGGAGGGTAATCCCCGAATACAGAGTTTATTCCTTCGTTACACAAAATACGCTGGAATAGCGACAAACAAAACAGGCACAGGGGAAACTATCTACCCTGGCAATACACTGTACCGGTAGATCCAACAATACATAGGCACAGGGGAAATATCTACCCCTGGCAACAAAATAGTACGAGTAGCTCCACCAAGCTACACTACTCTCACATTCAAACAATCACCCACAAGGACAAGGGGGCAGAGGGAACACGTATACACGGACTAATGAGGGGATAAGAACCAGGTGTGTGTGATTGACAAGACAAGACAAATGTGATGATGATAATTGGGGCGGCAGTGGTTAGTAAGCCGGTGACGACGAACGCCGAAGCCTGCCCGAACAAGGAGGGGAGGCAGCCTCGGCGGAAGTCGTGACACACAAAGCATATTGCATGTAACAAACAGTTACATGACCTACAGCATGTTCAACCAAGTTAATGTTTCCAACATTTTCGGCTACTAAACAACTATTGATTTAGAGCACCAGAGAGTAACCGCAAGTCGCAAAGAAAACAGCTGCCTCCACTATTCCAGCACCATTTCAACATGTCAGCATCATTAAATCACCTATGCTTAGTCTAATATAGTGACAACTAAAAGATTCCAAAAACGATTTAGTCCAATCAACGTAAGTTAAATATTATGTGGCTGTCCATGGTACTGATTTGTGTGTGTGTGTGTGTAAGTAGAAAAAATCATGTTGACTCACCCTACTTGTCTAATTTAGGAAAGGGCCATTTTTAGCTAGCTAGCTAGCCACCGGAGGACAACAACACAACGAGATGCAACAATTCAAGTTTCTTTCTGTCAATGATGTTTGGCTTGATGTGATGTGATTGGTGTGAAGCCAAATCCAAACAGGCTTGCCTTGACACTTTTTTTTGGTATGCCAGGACCATTTACAGTTGAGCTCACTCAGTTTAGCTCAACGCTGATTGTCTATTATTGTATCAAGGGAGACCAAATAGTCACTGGCTTCCCTTGCATTCAAAGTTACAGGTGGCAACAATATCATTCCACCACCCTTGTCTCCTGACCCACATGAATCACGGCAGCATTGGGGAACAACAGATACCCCCATCAGATCACACACAGCACTGTAACCCTATGCTGCTGTCAGAGAGAGGAGGGTGGGAGTGAGGGAGTGAGACAAAGCAATTATTTTCTGAACAATCACTTTTTTTCTCCCTCTGTGATTAAATGGCAGCACAAAGCCATGTCTCCTTTCATTAAAGTATATTTTTCCCTCGCTCTCTGTCTCTCTCTCACACACTCTGATACAGAAAGCTAGCTTTATTGTAATTTCAATGACACAATTTAGCTCCCCCTCCCTTCCCTTTCTCTCCCTCAGCTGGGTAATGGCAGCTAGGTGGAGTGGTGTAATATGGAGAGACAGGCTCAGAAGAAAACAAATAAACGTTTAAAAACCCAGCCTCAAATGATAACTTTAATTTACTCAAAGACTAGGGATTGCTGGAATGTGGGAGTGTGAGTATGTGTCTCTCTCTCTGTGTGTGTGTGTGTGTGTGTGTGTGTGTGTGTGTGTGTGTGTGTGTGTGTGTGTGTACCAGGCGGCTATTTGGGGCCCACACGGTAAGTGCCACTATTGGGTTACCCACCAGATATTAAGCCCACCCTATACCAGTGTTAATTTTGCCAACAAAAAAAGTTATGAAACTATTCATCAAACACCTATGTTTCATTGGCAATTGAAGAGATAACTGATTAAATAGACCCAGAAAAAAAATTAAAAAATTGGTTGACAGAAACGACACGAGACAAAATGATCTCTGTGACTAAAATCTGACTAGTAAGTGGACTGGACAAGATTTTTGGAGAGATTTTCAGTGTTATTTGTTTGGTCCAATCAAAAGCATGCATGACATTAGCAGAATTGTAAGGCTTTCTCATTGCAATGTTGCAATGCTGGTATTGGTGGAAAATAAATACCATGCCCAGGTCATTCACTCACGAGTCACCTCTCTTCCCTGCAACCATTCTCCAATCTGCCGGCAACAAATCATTGATGCAAATAAAGGCACACACCACGGCTACTCTTCCGGTGGTACAAACTCCAGGTAGAAAAAGGGCCTACGTGACGTTTGGAGCCACTTTACTTAATGTGTCGATTCAAACAAGACCGAATGCAAATTTCCACAGGAGAAGACAGTGTTTGAACCCACAAGTTGACGGGGAAAAATACTACCAACCTCAAGAGACATCTGAAAGCACATCATCCCAATATATATTGCATTCGGAAAGTATTCAGAACCCTTGACTTTTTCCACATTTTGCTACGTTACAGCCTTATTCTAAAATGGATTCAATTGTTTGTTTGTTTTCATTAACCTACACACAATACCCCACAATGACAAAGCAAAAACATTTTTTTAGACATTTTTGCACATGTATTGAAAATATAAAACGTAAATATCACATTTACATAAGTATTCAGATCCTTTAGTCAGTCCTTTGTAGAAGCACTTTTGGCAGTGATTACAGCCTCAAGTCTTCTTGGGTATGACACTACAAGCTTGGCACACCTGTATTTGGGGAGTTTCTCCCATTCTTCTCTGCAGATCCTCTCAAGCTCTGTCAGGTTGGATGGGGAGCGTCGCTGCACAGCTATTTTCAGGTCTCTCCGGAAATGTTCGATCGGGTTCAAGTCCGGGCTCTGGCTGGGCCACTCAAGGACATTCAGAGACTTGTCCCGACGCCACTCCTGTGTTGTCTTGGCTGTGTGCTTAGGGTCATTGTCCTGTTGGAAGGTGAACATTCGCTCCAGTCTGAGGTCCTGAGCACTCTGGAGCAGATTTTCATCAAGGATCTCTCTGTACTTTGCTCCGTTCAAATTTCCCTCGATCCTGACTAGTCTCCCAGTCCCTGCCGCTGAAAAACATCCCCACTGCATGATGCTGCCACCACCATGCTTCACTGTAGGGATGGTGCCAGGTTTCCTCTAGACGTGACGCTTGGCATTCAGGCCAAAGAGTTCAATCTTGGTTTCATCAGACCAGAGAATCTTGTTTCTCATGGTCTGAGAGTCCTTTAGGTGCCTTTTGGCAAACTCGAAGCGGGCTGTCATGTGCCTTTTACTGAGGAGTGGCTTCAGTCTGGCCACTCTACCATAAAGGCCTGATTGGTGGAGTGCTGCAGAGATGGTTGTCCTTCTGGAAGGTTCTCCCATCTCTACAGAGGAACTCTGGAACTCTGTCAGAGTGACCATTGGGTTCTTGGTCACCTCCCTGACCCAGGCCCTTCTCCCCCGATTGCTCAGTTTGGCCGGGCGGCCAGCTCTAGGAAGAGTCTTAATGGTGTTCTTGGGGACCTTCAACGCTGCAGAAATGTTTTGGTACCCTTCCCCAGATCGGTGCCTCAACACAATCCTGTCTCGAAGCGCTACGGACAATTCCTTCGACCTCATGGCTTTGTTTTTGCTCTGACATGCACTGTCAACTGTGGGACCTTTTTATATACACAGGTGTGTGCCTTTCCAAATCATGCCCAATCAATTGAATTTACCACAGGTGGACTTCAATCAAGTTGTAGAAACATCTCAAGGATGATCAATGGAAACAGGATGCACCTGAGCTCAATTTCGAGTCTCATAGCAAAGGGTCTGAATACTTATGTAAATGTGATTTTCAGTTTTTTTTTCTTTTATAAATTTGCAAACCTTTCTAAAAACCAGTTTTTGCTTTGTCATTATGGAGTATTGTGTGTAGATTGATGAGGGGAAAAAAACAATTTAATCAATTTTAGAATAAGGCTGTAACTCCACTAAATGGAAAAAGTCAAGGGGTCTGAATACTTTCCGAATGCACTCTATACGCTCAGGTAATAACAGATTGATAATGCTAGCTAGTTAGTTTGCTGCAACCTACCATACCACTACTTATGACAGAACTTTGATTACAGTATAGCTACAGTATGTCAAGGGGAGTGGTTTTTGATCTGCTGCAGAGTAATGTGTTCTTCAGCCAACTTGGCTGTTGGGAAGAGAAACATGCAATAGGATGTTATGCAGAAAAATATGTTGGTAGGACATGTGCACATGGAAGTCAGTGATTTCTGTTTACTATGTGATGTGAAGGGCCTCCCGAGTGGCACAGCAGTCTAAGGCACTGCATCGCAGTGTTGCGGCATCACTACAGCCTGGGGTTTGATCCCAGGCTGTGTCACAACCGGCCATGACCGGGAGTCCCATAGGGCGGCACACAATTGGCCCAGTGTCGTCCGGGTTAGGGGAGGGTTTGGCCAGGGGGGCTTTACTTGGCTCATCGCACCTGCAGGCTGACTTCGGTTGTCAGTTGAACAGTGTTTCCTCCGACACATTGGTGCAGCTGGCTTTCGGGTTAAGCGAGCGGATGTTAAGAAGCGTGGCTTGGCGGGTCATGTTTCAGAGGACGCATGACCTTCGCCTCTCCCGAGCCTATTGGGGAGTTTCAGCGATGAGACAAGATCGTAATCACGAAATTGGGGAGAAAATGAGGGTAAAAACTACTACAACATTTCTTCCATATACAGTATAGTTATTTTAAAAATAGTGATGTGACAAAAATATAAGGGCATTTAGTTTGACAATAACTAGACTAAATCATTATTCAAATGAAGACTTAATGATATTTTAGTAAAAATGACTAAGACTAAATCTAAAAAAAAAAGAATTCCAAAATGAACAATGCCCTATACCCATGCCATACCATTCATTCTACCCCCCATACCCCCATACCCCCTCCCCCAACCCCCCTTTTAACCCCAGCACCCACCAGTCTGTGTGTAATTAATCAAATATGTCTAAGTGAAGCACTGGGGTGAGGGGGAGCACCACAGGAATTTACCAGGCAAGTAGAGGAGTGGAGCAGAGGCGACCTCAGCATTGCGTGACTTGTGCACATCACCCTGCAGAGCGTTACATCACCCCAGACCAGGGATTTAAAATGACACATTATTCAGACCATCACCATGGCGCCACAGACTCACAGTGCACAGACGCTACATAGAGGACTGGGAGGGAGGACTGGGAGGGAGGACTGGGAGAGAGGACTGGGAGAGAGGACTGGGAGAGAGAGAGAGAGAGAGAGAGAGGAGAGAGAGAGAGAGAGAGAGAGAGAGAGAGAGAGAGAGAGAGAGAGATCATAGCCAGAGCGTGCATGCAAACACACACACACACACACAGTGACAGGTTCAGAGGGGAAGGTAGTAACTTGAGGGTCATTAAAGGAGCCTGTGCTTCTTCTCACGGTTGGCCATGGTCTCGATCCTGCTCCTGCCCAGCAATACTTCCTGTTAAGCACTGCTCATTTCCTGTTTCATATAAACAAACCAGCTATAACTAGGAGGGGTGGACTGTATAGTCTCCAAGACATATGTAAAACGGGTGAATTGGGACTCGTAGCCACTACTGTTTGAGATGCACCATTATTACAATAGGCCTAAATACGGCAGCACAGTGAAACGTCTCTGCTTGTTAAAGCATGCTTGTTATTATGATTTAATTAATTAGAATAGATTGGACATACTGTAAGACCATGTGCCATGCGTAGAGGGAGTGCAACAAGAGACACACCCACCACCAGCCCCCTCATTTGGCTGGATGCAAAATGGTGAAGTGAGCAAAAACAAGTTGTCCCCCATAGCACTTTTGCTCACCACAAGCAGAACCCTTGAAGTCTGCTGTAGCCTCTAATGAATGAAGATACACCTCCTACAGCTCTCTGTCTCTGCACTACTCTCCCATTGTTAGTCTCCATGACTCGATTCCATATTTTTGTTGTTGTTGCCATCGACAAAATGAAGATTCATTCCAAAATGGATGGCAAAAGTGTGAGTGTGTTCCCCATGTGTGCTCTGTGGAAGAGCCAAGCCTCAGATAGGATCTCACTAACATTCGCTCCCATCAACAATTGTCTCACACACTGTTTACACTACAGGTGGAAAACCTTATTCTGTGTGACAGAAACCGGGCACACACACACAGAGTAAGGTTTTCCACCTGTGCGTGCCAGTCTAACCACAACCCTGTCTTTAGTGTAATCAGTCTAACCACAACCCTGTCTGTAGTGTAATCAGTCTAACCACAACCCTGTCTGTAGTGTAATCAGTCTAACCACAACCCTGTCTGTAGTGTAATCAGTCTAACCACAACCCTGTCTGTAGTGTAATCAGTCTAACCACAACCCTGTCTTTAGTGTAATCAGTCTAACCACAACCCTGTCTTTAGTGTAATCAGTCTAACCCACAACCCTGTCTTTAGTGTAATCAGTCTAACCACAACCCTGTCTTTAGTGTAATCAGTCTAACCACAACCCTGTCTTTAGTGTATCAGTCTAACCACAACCCTGTCTTTAGTGTAATCAGTCTAACCACAACCCTGTCTTTAGTGTAATCAGTCTAACCACAACCCTGTCTTTAGTGTAATCAGTCTAACCACAACCCTGTCTTTAGTGTAATCAGTCTAACCACAACCCTGTCTTTAGTGTAATCAGTCTAACCACAACCCTGTCTTTAGTGTAATCAGTCTAACCACAACCCTGTCTTTAGTGTAATCAGTGTGTGAGACATGATGAGAGTGATTGTTAGTGAGATCCTATCTGAGGCTTGGCTCTTCCACAGAGCACACAGAGGGAACACACACACACCTTTGCCATCCATTTTGGAATGAATCTTCCTTTTGGTTGATGGCAACAACAACAAAAATATGGAATCGAGTCATGGAGACTAACAATGGGAGAGTAGTGCAGAGACAGAGAGCTGTAGGAGGTGGATCTTCATTCATTAGAGGCTACAGTAGACTTCAAGGGTTCTGCTTGTGGTGAGCAGAAATGCTATGGGGGACAACTTGTTTTTGCTCACTTCACCATTTTGCATCCAGCCAAATTAGGGGGCTGGCAGTGTGTGTGTTGTGTGTGTGTGTGTGTGTGTGTGTGTGTGTGTGTGTGTGTGTGTGTGTGTGTGTGTGTGTGTGTGTGTGAGAGAGAGAGAGAGAGAGTGAGACGGAGAGAGAGAAGGAGAGAGAGGAAGAGATAGGGAGAAGAGGAGAAGAGCAGACGCGCGAGAGACGAAAAGGGGAGAGCGAGAGCAGAGGCGAGAGAGAGCAGAGAGAGAGAAGAGAGAGAGAGAGAGAGAGAGAATACAGTGTGAGAGGGTAAGCCTTCCCTTCAGCCAAGAACACGTTCTTAAAAATGTATACAGTGATCTGAATTAATCCAGAGAGCATTGAATAATTGAGAAGTAGCTTTGAACAGAGCAGATCCGTGTGACATGGGTTAGAATAGAGAGGATGGGGAACATTGGCCTGACAACTCGCACTAAATTCTTCCGCTGTCCTGTCGTTTGCTACATACTTTAGTCTGAGACTAAAGCCATCATTGTGGTGACGAGGGGCACGAGGGGTGTTGTACAAAACAAAGTAATCAGCGATTGGATCGTCTCTAACCAATCAAAGTATCAAAGCCAATGATGACATTTCAAACCACCGCTTTACCCATTTATGTTCTGGCCCAACCCATCAGTTTCTTGACCAATCAGATGGCCCCAAATGTGTTCGCATTCGTTGAAGGGTCGGGGAGGTACTCAGATCCAGACTCATTGCGAAGAAGAAACTAACGTCCGAGGGCGTGGCGTTTGGCTGGAGAAAGGAGTCTGGGTTGCCAGGCAAGGGGAACATTACTGCACTGAACAGTAAAAATCATCCTTTTTAATGCACCCTTGTCAGTCAGTTCAAATTGCAACAAATGGGGGGACACTCACATGCACTGTACCCAGAGAGCGACCGAGCAAGAAAGAGAGAGAGAGGCATCAAACGGTCAGCTCTGTAAATGTCAAGCCCTCTCACTACCTGACCTGTCAATATGACCTCATCATCAGTAAGATCATTGTCCCCGCACCTCTTCAGCCATACACCATCACGACAACACAATGACATTATAGGCCTACTCTGCTACAGAAACAAAAGTAATTAACATAGATGTAAACTGTCAAATGCTAATGTAACATGCAGCTTGTCCCTGGGGCAGCCAATTAAACAGCACCATTGATTAGAATGTGGGACTGTAATATAGATGCAGGTGCACTGTTCAGAGAGTGTGACACTATTCAGAGGAGAAGGAGAAAGAAGCCCTGGAGCAATTGGTTCCCATAACCTAGCGCCCCTACCCCCCTCAAAACACCCAGAGTCCCTTGTATTGGGGGTCACTGCCAAAGGGCAGCTGTAATACAGCAATTTGGAGCAAAGCTTGTTCATTTACTCTCTCTGCTCCAACCCCTCTCCTCTCCCTCCCCCTTTATTTATTTTGCTTCAATTCCTCCAGATTGGCAGTGTAAAGTCTTTAAGGAGTCTCGTGGATAGTGCTCCCACAGCCAGGTTGCATGCACATGCAAATCATAATTGTTCCAAACTAGTGGTTGGTTACATTTTCCTTACAATCTCATTATACCTATACTAGCCTCCCATATCATTGGTGGTTCTATGCTGCTGGTCTTACAGAAGCCATGACAATATGCTATCAACCTGTCACATTGCTAAATCACCACAGTGGCATTGCTTTTCAATGCCTTTCTATAGAATAGACGTTAATTGTTAATGCCTGTCTCTATGACTACAGACTGAAAGCCATCAGCCTGTCTTTTGTACACAGACACTGACAGCAGAGGGGTGCTGTCAGCACCATAACAACCTCCAAACCATACTCCCGTCCCGTCTTCACAGAGAGACATCCGATAAAGGCCTAATGGCTTTTGTTCATCCCCTTCTTTCATTTTTCTCCCTCCCTCGATCCCTCCCTCCCCAGTGGCATCCTCCTCCCTGTCTTGATAGGAGCACTAATCATTATGGGGCTGGAGAATCTACACATACAGCATGGAGAGGGAAGGGAAGTCCATTAAAATGATAATCACCATCTATCTCTGCTGGTTTATAGGGGTACGTTTTCATATACTGTATGCCCCCTGACCAAATGGAGGTTGGAGGTGAGGTGGGATGCAGTCTAGGACTGGGGGGGGGGGGCATATGCTGCAATAACACAGTAATAAATTACTTTGTGACAAATGAATGGATGAGTTATAGTTTAATTGTACTTCAACAACGATGTTCCCTACAGCTTAATACAGTATACACACACACAAAATTATCCTTGAAAGTGGAAACTAGGTGAGTGTGTGTGTGTGTGTGTGTGAGGTGTTTTCAAGATAATGAACATGTGTCTGTGCATGTCTGTGTGTGCTGGAATGTACTACACAGTACGCGTGTGAGAACTGGAACATTGGGTGGATTTCCTTATTTACATTTGTGTGTATCTGTGAGTTTGTATACGTGTGTTTATTTAGTAACAGTGGATGTGTATGTATATGTGTGTGTGTGTGTGTGTATTTATAGCCCTGCTCCACATCAGTGACATAACTGAGCCTGAGACTGGCCCTCTGCTCTGCAGCTGTTGAGGGGGGCTAGACTCTGAGCTACCTGTTGCATCAGGCTTAAGTAACACAGGGGCCCAAAGTTCACTGGGGCAGCGCCAGGAACACACACACACACACACAGACAAACGCACACACACAGACAAACACACACACACACACACACACACACTTAACTGCACTACAGGCATGTTTACAGGCCCTATTTTGGTCTCTCGCTCTCCCTTTCTTCTGCCATAGCTACCCTTGGCACACATTTCAACAGCAGCTCCAAACTTTGTGAAGTACCTCAACTCCTCCGTGGAGTTGAACGGAGACTAGAGCTTTTGAAATGAAACTCCGACTCGCTATGCATCGATACATCAAAAATGTACATTCATAAACCCTTACTGTGTACCTATCTTTGTCCTCTGTTGTTGCGTGCCTTTCTTTGTTTGCTGAGATCCAGACTTTATCAAATACAACCACCAACTGTTTCCTTGTTGAGATTCAATTGGCACGTGCACATTCGTGCTGAGTTGCCATCTTAGAGCAACAACAATGAGGAAACAGTCAGTGGTTGTATTTGATTAACATTTTATTCAAAAGTATGGATTTCAACATAGCGACTTGAAGGAGTCAGAGGTTCATTTCAAAAACTCTAGTCTGCGCTCAACTCCATGGAGGAGTTGAGGTATTTGGCAACTCCAAACTAGACCTCTCCCTCCAGACAGGAGTCAAGCTGTTACATTCCCTGTGGAGCAACTAGAGTCTACCATGGAATTTGTTGCAAGAAAGACTGACTTCCAGTGGTGATTTTAGCATGTAAATCTTGGTGGAGCAAACAAAACAAAATAATTGTGGGATGCATGCCAGCAAAGCCACTACACAACACAACACTAAACAATACATTAATTGCACTAAAATGGTGCCAAACGGTGCCCACAAACTGTTAGGGCCTACATAAAGCTGTCCCAACGGCAGAGCTTTCTTTTCGGCACCATGGAGTGAATCCTTACCACCGCTACACCTGGCTATCAGTGGAGCCTTGCCTGGCAGCGAAACAGTTCATTCAGCCTCATTTACTGACATAGCTGATCTGGCTGACTTGCTTAAACAAATGTTATTTCTACTGACAATTGAGATGTACAAACTATGGCATAAGGGAATGATGAGCGGATAAGAGGCAATCCTTAATTTCGATTAAGACATTAATGAGTGAGCTAAGATGGACATAGTCAATATAACTATTTGTTCAGCACTTTTGAAATGTACAGCGACAGAATTCAGAACATGGGTCATTCTTACAGTATTCTCCCTGTACACCAAGTCAGAACCGTAGGATTAATAAAGGGGGCATATAAGCAGACAATGAAAGCTCTTACAATATTAAATGATGACATTTCTCTAGAACAGGCTATAGGCTACATGTGCACCACCAAGTCCCCTGTAGCTCAGTTGGTAGAGCATGGCGCTTGCAACACCAGGGTTGTGGGTTCGTTTCCCATGGGGGGCCAGTATGAAAGTGTATGCACTCACTAACTGTAAGTCGCTCTGGATAAGAGCGTCTGCTAAATGACTAAAATGTAAATGTAAGTCAGAACAGTAGGCTAAATTATGAGGGGGAAAGGGACCCAATTATTAGGGTGAGGCACATGGGCTACTAACAGCTTACTACACAACATACACATAAATTTTTGGACTCACAGTTGTGCTGTACTCACTTGAACAGGAAAGTGGCGTGGCGGTCCTTTGTGTGGGCAAATTTTGTCATGAAACTTCGTCATCAAAGACTGGCATTCTCTGGATTTATGGTGCTTTCAAGACAACTGGGAACTCAGAAAAAAACAAGGTTGAACCATGACGTCAATGATCTTCAGGTAGGAGCTCTAGAAAGAGACCCGAGTTCCCGACTTGGAATTCCGAGTTGGATGACCGTTCAAAACGTATTTTCCCAGTCTGAGCTCGTTTTTCCCCGAGTTCCCAGTGGTCTTGAACTCACTGAAGTCTGAGATTTCCCAGTTCCGAGTTCCCAGTTGTTTTGAACGCGGCAGAAGTCACGCTGGCTTGACAGCATGGCCAATGTATTCAACCTTTTCTGGCCCATGGTATTGCGTGTAGGGCTGTTGCGGTGACCGTATTACCGCCACACCGGCGGTCACGAGTCATGAAGGCAGTCAAATTCCACATGACTGTTTAGTCCCGGAAATTAGGCTTCTCCAAGCTCTGATGCTGCTGCTGGTCATTAGTAACCTACCAAACTGCCTGGTACTCAGCACTCTATTGTCCCTCTAATCACTCTGACATCAATGCAAATGTTTTCGAAAATCTAATCAAACACTTCATGAGAGCCCATGAGCTCATGTTGCGGAACATTTCTATAAGCAATGCAATTGCAGGAGAAAACAAGCCACTGTAAAAGCTGTCATCAAGGCAAAGGGTGGCTATTTGAAGAATCTCAAATATAAAATATATTTTGATTTGTTTAAAACGTTTTTGGTTAGTACATGATTCCATGTGTTCTTTCATAGTTTTGATGTCTTTACTATTATTCTACAATGTAAAACATAGTAAAAATAAAGAAAAACCCTTGAATGAGTAGGTATGTCCAAACATCTGACTGGTAGTGTATTTTTTCCCCCAGGTGACAATCACAAGAGGAAATATCCCAAGAGGAAAATAGTGCAATGTAAGACACAAGGTGCCAATAAGAAGAGCATTGTGCAATGTCAAACAAAAGGTGCATTAAGAAGACGGTGCTCTCAAAAGTGTGATTAAAGGGGAAATAAGAGAGAAACCACAAAAACAAAATTGGTAAATTACCCACCACCACATCATTCTAGAGCAGAGTGCATAGTTTAAAGAGGCCACCATGGAGATGAAGATACAGTGCCTTGCAAAAGTATTCATCCCCCTTGGCGTTTTTCCTATTTTGTTGCATTACAACCTGTAATTTAAATGGATTTTTATTTCGATTTCATGTAATGGACATACACAAAACAGTCCAACTTGGTGAAGTGACATTTTAAAAATAACTTGTTTCAAAAAATTCTACTAAATAAATAATGGAAAAGTGGTGCGTGCATATGTATTCACCCCATTTGCTATGAAGCCCCTAAATAAGATCTGGTACAACCAATTACCTTCAGAAGTCACATAATTAGTTAAATAAAGTCCACCTGTGTGCAATCTAAGTGTCACATGATCTCAGTATATATACACCTGTTCTGAAAGGCCCCAGAGTCTGCAACACCACTAAGCAAGGGGCACCACCAAGCAAGCAGCACCATGAAGACCAAGGAGCTCTCCAAACAGGTCAGGGACAAAGTTGTGGAGAAGTACAGATCAGGGTTGGGTTATAAAAAAATATCTCAAACTTTGAACATCCCACGGAGCACCATTAAATCCATTATTAAAAAATGGAAAGAATATGGCACCACAACAAACCTGCCAAGAGAGGGCCGCCCACCAAAACTCACGAACCAGGCAAGGAGGGCATTAATCAGAGAAGCAACAAAGAGACCAAAGATAACCCTGAAGGAGCTGCAAAGCTCCACAGTGGAGATTGGAGTATCTGTCCATAGGACCACTTTAAGCCGTACACTCCACAGAGCTGGGCTTTACGGAAGAGTGGCCAGAAAAAAACCATTGCTTAAAGAAAAAAATAAGCAAACACGTTTGGTGTTCACCAAAAGGCATGTGGAAGACTCCCCAAACATATCAGCTTTTTGGCCATCAAGGAAAACGCTATGTCTGGCACAACCCCAACACCTCTCATCACCCCGAGAACACCATCCCCACAGTGAAGCATGGTGGTAGCAGCATCATGCTGTGGGGATGTTTTTCCTCGGCAGGGATTGGGAAACTGGTCAGAATTGAAGGAATGATGGATGGCACTAAATACAGGGAAATTCTTGAGGGAAACCTGTTTCAGTCTTCCAGAGATTTGAGACTGGGACGGAGGTTCACCTTCCAGCAGGACAATGACCCTAAACATCCTGCTAAAGCGACACCCGAGTGGTTTAAGGGGAAACATTTAAATGTCTTGGAATGGCCTAGTCAAAGCCCAGATCTCAATCCAATTGAGAATCTGTGGTATGACTTAAAGATTGCTGTACACCAGCGGAACCCATCCAACTTGAAGGAGCTGGAGCAGTTTTGCCTTGAAGAATGGGCAAAAATCCCAGTGGCTAGATGTGCCAAGCGTATAGAGACATACCCCAAGAGACTTGCAGCTGAGGTTTTTTATTTTTTTATTTCACCTTTATTTAACCAGGTAAGCCAGTTGAGAACAGGTTCTCATTTACAACTGCGAACTGGCCAAGATAAAGCAAAGCAGTGCAATAAAAACAACACAGAGTTACATATGGGGTAAAAAAACATAAAAGAGGTGGCTCTAAAAAGTATTGACTTTGGGGGGGGGTGAATAGTTTTGCACGCTCAAGTTCTGTTTTCACTTAAATTACAGGTTGTAATGCAACAAAATAGGATAAACACCAAGGGGGAGGAATACTTTTGCAAGGCACTGTAATGTGAAGAAATAGCCTAAAGTTTATCAACATTTTAAGCTAAACGTTCTGATCTGTTGCATCAGCCACATTGCATTTAAAAAAATGTTTGATGCTAGTGGTTGTATTAATTTGGAATCTATCGCATCCCACAACTGTCGCAGACTATGTTTGGAAAAGTAATTTTTTTGCACAGAATAGAATAGGTCAACTTTTGTACTATGGGGGATAGTAGATTGACATAGGCTAGAGCTTTTGCTGTTCGTTAGGCCTACTCATCTTGTTGGCTGACAAAAAGTAAATGTGGACAGTTCTTTCAATATCTTCAATATGCACCTCGGAATTGGATAAGGACTCACAAAGTTGCGTCCCCGATGTGTCTGTCTTAAATTGTAACCTGTGAAAAAGACCCGATCACGTGACGGAGAGCCATGTGAGTTAGAGACGCTTTGGATTGCACAGCACACTCAGGGAGAAGGGCACAACGCTGCACTCCGGGCCGCAAAAGGCATGGATTTTTTTAGGGTGCATTACGGCCACAAAGGGGATGCAGCCGTGAAATTTGAGGCATTATCAAGTGCTTGTCAAATTGTGAATGAGAGACTATTGGACTGTGTACAGCCTGCACAAAAAAAAACAAAGCAGAGCTCATGCCTTTCATGCGACTTTTTTCAAATCATCATTAGAGTCTCATCATGCAGCCTTACAATGTATTAAAAATCGAAACATATAGCCCAACGTTTGTAGAATAACTAAAGTTAGATTAATAACTCTAAATTAAGCATATAGGAGTACCTATTTCTTTGTTAACCGCTCAACACAGAATAGCCGCATGTGCGCACTCCCTCAAATCGTTTGGAGAAAATATTTATATTTTATTCAACTTTGTTCAATTGTATTCCTCATACTATAAAATAATATAAAATAATGCCACAGAATTATAAGCAACTCTTGTCTGCTAAATGAACTAGTGTAGCCCACAGCCATTTGGCACAGCCACATAAGGACAACTCAGACTATGCTATTATTTTCTTCTGAAATAGACTAAATTGTATTCATATCATGCTTCTTTAGACCTGTCTAAAATAAATAATGGATTTATTGTGAAGGAGTAGGCTATATTACATGGATTTATTATACTTTTAAAAATGGCTTGTAGGCTATGTGTGGAGACCCTGGAGATGCTAAATGTGTTTATGTTAATTCATGGTCAATTACCGTGAGACCGACAGCTATTTGCTTGACAATCACCAGCTGATGAAATTTCGTGACCGCTACAGCCCTAGTTGCGTGTGAATGTTTATCCTTTTAAGCTTGGAAAAGAGACCCTTAAACCCAGACTTGGACCACACAGCCTCTCCACTGAATAGCAGGGGAAGCAAAATAGGGATTGCTTTGCAACGCTTGCAGTTAGCCACTGATTCCTTCCAAACCACTCATTGTTGAATTTGCGATTTCCAACTTGTTGTGTAATGTTTATGTCCAATGGCTGATGAGCACCGATACGTTTTATCTAGAATTTCTCTTCATATGACAAGGATTGAAAAGGATTTGCCAGTAGATTGTCAACGTGATGATGACTGCTTGTCTAGCTTGCTAACTAAGATTTTGAAAGTATGATGTAGACATGATCAGTCCAATCAAAGCTATGGTAACGTGAATTGACGTCATTTTGTGGCCGATGACCTTGAGCCTTCTTCGATGGGCACTTCTAATGTAAATCTATGGCAGCACCCAAGGGGGCTTGAACTTTCAAGCTCTTCCTGTAGCCTTTGCGGCGACGTAGTGTCCCCATGATTGACAGAACACTAAGCCAATCACGGCGCAACTAGAGAAGATTACCAACCCCTACGCTCTGTATCTTCCGATGGCTGCCCCTCCACCACAGAAAGCACTGAGCTGGAGAATTTGTGGTATGACTTAAAGATTGCTGTACACCAGCGGAACCCATCCAACTTGAAGGAGCTGGAGCAGTTTTACCTTGAAGAATGGGCAAAAATCCCAGTGGCTAGATGTGCCAAGCTTATAGAGACATACCCAAAGAGACTTGCAACTGTAATTGCTGCAAAAGGTGGCTCTACAAAGTATTGACTTTTGGGGGGGAGGAGGGGGGGGGGGGGGGAGGTGAATAGTTATGCACGCTCAAGTTTTCTGTTTTTTAAAAACGTATTTCTTGTTTGTTTCACAATAAAAAATATTTTTCATCTTCAAAGTGGTAGGCATGGTGTGAAAATCAAATGATACAAACCCCCAAAAAATCCATTTTAATTCCAGGTTGTAAGGCAACAAAATAGGAAAAATGTAAAGGGGGTGAATACTTTCGCAAGCCACTGTATCTCATTTGTATATGTTATTTGCAAACTTTGCCATGAAATGAGCAGCAGCAGTACAGAACCATCTCTAGACCAGCACATTCATCACTCCCTAGACACGCAATTAAAGGGCCAGATGCCCAGTTAAAGGGGAATTACACTAAAAAATAAATGTGTTTGTTTTCTTCCAGACCTAAAAAATGATTTAACCATTGACATGGACTCAGAACATCCAATTTCGTTGTTTCTCTATGAACAATTGTAATTTTGAGAGTGAAAAAAAATATTTAAAGAATTCTAAAAGCAGGAAGAAATCACAGATTTGATATGGGCCCCCTTTAGGGTTGTTTATTAACCATTATTTTTACATGTATATTAACAGAAAACATAGTGCACTACTTTCTCTTGTACACTAAGGACCCAGGGAAGAGTTGCAGGGGAGAGGAGAAGAGAAGAATGTGCTAGAAAAAAAATGAGTAGCTTGTGATTTTATTTTAATTTTAAAGTAGCTCTCATGGTAGAAAATGTTGGAGACCCCTGATCTACATAATGCAAGTATGTTTTTTGGTACTCTATAGGCCTATGCATGTGTCAAGAGCATTGAATGGGAAAAATGTATAATTTATATCCTTTATCATAAGACATGACCCAGAGTCTGCTGAGTGATGTATGTCATTCAGTGAGAGGAGAGAAACCAACAGGGATTATTAGGATTTGCTGAGCAAATCTACTCAACAAAGCCAGCTCTCCCACCTCACCTTCATGAAACCTAAGCTGACAAACTAACCGCTCTGACCTGAACCCCAATAGTCTGAGAGTGAAATCACAAACTGAAAGCAGGTGAAAACACCATGGTTGGCGTGAACACCTGCTAAAGGTGGTCTTCAGTTTCACTGGATGTTTTCCTAATGCCAGTAGCCATTCCGTGTTGATACCTTAAAGCTGGTGTCGTTGGTTGTTTTAAATTGAACTGCATTGGCCTGGCCGGCTGATTAATCTGTGTGATCGAAACGCAAAATGACAGAACTACAAAAGGGGATCATGTAGTAATGACATCTATGTTCCTGCATCTTCCAGTTTTTTTAATGTCCACTGAAACATGAGCACCCTACCCGCCAGACCCTCCATGCCCAAAATTCCATGAGCGGCACATAGGCCTACTCCAGCTGCCCCCTTTGCCCCCTGAGCACAGGTAACTCATCCCCTCCTGAGAATGTATGGCAATTTCGGCCAACGAGACAAGTTTCACGCGGCCCTGACACAGTGAGTTTCGATCCATGACACCATGTGTCCCATCCCTCGGCACTTTGTGACCATAGCGTCCCCATTGAAGGTAGTCTTACCCCAGGCTGTTCACCCGAGCTTGCAGCATTCCAAGTCGTCATGTAATTGCCCAACGGCAGTTTTAACAACCTTGGCAGTAGGCCTACAGTAGCCTACCTGACCCAGAAGATCGCAGGCATTAGCCTAAGATTTACGTAACAAATATATAACTACCATTCTGAACTGACAGTTGAACCACTTTTGGCGACCAGCAATGTTTTGTTCTTTACTATGAAATTGGGATTAATTGTAGGACTTTACAGTCTAATGATTTATGTAGCTTAGTGGTTAAGAGCGTTGTGCCAGTAACCGAAAGGTCGCTGGTTCTAATCCCCGAGCCGACTAGGTGAAAAATCGTCAGATGAGCCCAAGAGCAAGGCACTTAACCCTAATTGCTCCTGTAAGTCGCTCTGGATAAGATCGTCTGCTAAATGACTAAAATGTAATTGTATCAATCTCTGTGCGTCATAAACGAATTTGATTCAAGTCTCTCTAAATAGGCTACAGACACAGTCCAGACTGGCTTGCTGATACAAAGTTACATATTTGTGACAGTTCACTCGAAGTTGAGTCACGCTCAATAGGAAAGAGAGAGAGAGCGACAGAGAGAGAGAGAGTGTGTGGTGTGTGTATGTTTATAAACAAAGCCAGGGAACATCCAAAAGCACAAACTCTCGAGACATGTTGTTTTGATGACAGGGGGAGGGAGGAGGGGGGAATGAATGAGGAGATGAGGGGAGCGTTTGTCGCTTACCTTCCACCCAGCCGAGCTGTTGCTGTCGCCTTTGTCTTTGAAGTACGGCACACATCTCACCATCCACTCATAAATCTGAGACAGAGTCAATCTCTTGTCTGGCGTGCTGCCTATGGCTTTGGTTATCAGGTCAGCATATGAGAGATTCCCCCACGCGTTCCTGCGCGACGAGGACTTCCGTGCGGTCTGCACCCCCGGGCTGCTGGTGCTGAGTGCGCCAGAGGTGGCCGTGGGGGAGTGGGAGGGGAGCGGGGAGCCTCCGTTCTCCTGTTCGGACAGCAGTCCTTCGGCCGTAGGGCTGTTGCTGTTCTGGTCGTCTGCTCCCAGGCTGGAGCTGGTGCCATTAACATTGATGGCCATGGAAGTGGCATGTTGTTCCTCTTCGTCATCCTCTTCCTCGGGTATAATGTCAGTTTCGTTGCTCTCTGGTTTCCCAGCATTGGACTCGGGTCGCGGCAACGGCCAGGTGCACGATCGTGGCCGTTTTTGTGGCTCGAAGTCTGGGTCTATGGCCACGTCCAACTCAGGGAGAAGGCTGGGGGCTGGAACCTCGGCCATCTCACCTTCAATCACTCGCACGTCCCTGCTGCCCGCTGATAGGGTCAGTAGATAAGTAGTGGAGAGCTAAGTAGTGGAGAGCTGTCAAAGTCGCATTCCATGAATGCGCGCCCCCGCCTTTGTTGCTTTTCCAGACCAGCAGTCCTCAAGGGTCACTATCAACTCCGCGCGAATTGAGAAAATCCTCTAGTAGCAAAAAGAGCACCGCTATGCTGATCAGGATCAATTTTAAACGTATTACTTGTGGACTATTATAAATGTCTTAGCACCATAACTAATAAACGAGTACTATTCTCCCTGGCTCCATAAGCAAGCCACAGCGACTTTACATTTGACAATCGCAACAGTTCAAAACGGGTTGCTGCATATTCGTCGTATTTCTCCTCGCCTGCATATTCGTGGTATTTCTCCTCGTCTGGAGCAATGGTAGTAATAACAGTACAGTGACTACAGTTCGTTCAAGAGTAATCTACTGTGTAGCACGAGTTCGTTCATCAATGAGCGGATTACACATTCCTTCCTTGCGCGTTCAAGATCAAAACCCGCACTGATGAAAGGTAACTGAATACACCAATTTGAAGCTCCTCGTCAATAGCCACGGAGAAACTGATCAAACGTCATCACACTGAAGCTGTCTTACACGTATAAAAGCGTACAGTCACTGCGCGCTATGGTGATGGCTGCGATTAATTCCTGCATAGTCCTATCCCTCCTGTCATTGCTGTCATCTTGCCAAATTCACTTTCACTCCCAAGTCCTTTTTAATATTAGACTGGATACATGAAAGCTGCGTATTGTTGTCAGTGTGGATAGAAAAACGAAAAGGAACGGAAATGAGAATGATATCTCCGTTTCTCCAAAGTCGCCTTTACTGACTCCAAAGTCGCCTTTACTGACGAACGCAGCTCAGTTGGTATGGAAAACGAAACGCCACATCACACTCTAGGTTACAGTAGGCCCGATCTCTTCTGCTGCACACATACACACAAATCTATCTACTTAGCACATTCCGTCTTGTGACAGCCCTCAACAAGCTCAAAGTTATACAGCAACAGCAGCGATAGTGGTGGCTAGATAGACTAACGTTACCACCCCCATTGAAAAGGCCACCCCTTGGATCCCGTGGACGGGATCGCCTTTTAAAGAGACACCCTCCAAGGTACAGTAGCCTATGTGCGCACAGGCATATCTAGGCAAGCAGTGTGTGGAAGGGACATGTCTTGGCATGTTGAGGGATCCAGAAATAGACAGACAGATCATCAAAATATTATTTTACAATGATAAGAACACAAAGAAAATTCAACGGTGGATAGAGGACATTTACAGTTAATTCCAAATAATTATATTGCTCCTTTTGGAAATATAATTAATAGGTTAATGACAAAGGCTACATTATGACAATAATTGATAAGGTATGGTTGACATATGTATCATTGTTTCCACTTCCGCTGTGGTGCACTGTGTTGGGTATTAGCCTATACTTCATTCATAACCTTCATGACATGCATTCTACCAAATATTATAATAAAATAATAAAGTATTTAAGTCAAGTTGAGTCATTTTATTTTAATGACAGTATCTTTAAAAGTTTAGATCGCTTGTCCCTTTAATCCGTGAGCATGGGTGTCAATCAATCTCGACAGCGCGCGCAGAACATGCCAAATCGACCTCTTCAAACACATGACGTCATTCCATTTATAATCAAGAGATAGGGGAATAAATCCTACGGTTATCTATCCTGTATGTGATGCTTCGGAGTGGTTGCCCCTCCCCTACCACCTCCCGCCTCCAAGACTGTACCAAAACACCAGCATTAGCAAGCCTACATACGTCTTTGTTCCAGAGAAGATGTTGTGTAAGGTGCGCGTACCTTGCAGGGACACGCGCTCTCGATTTCTGTACAGGAATGCGCGCATTCCACCTGTGCGCAGTATTCATCAATGAATTCTTGGAACAGATGGTATTGATTAGGAATGGATAACAATCCTATATACTAAATCAGAGAAAACACACACATCCTGCAAGGCTTTGGTTGTGTTATGGCATTGAATTTTACATGAAAAACATCAGCACTATTTCATTTATTATGATAACAAAGGAAATAGATACACATGTATATATACTGACTTTATTTCAATTGACTGACTTCCTTCTATGAACTGTAACTCAGTAAAATCTTTGAAATTGTTGCATGTTGCATTTATATTTTTGTTCAGTACACACACATATAAACACACCATCATGCTCCTCTTTGTTCCTCCTGTCCCAGCTATGTATATAAAGAGGAATCGCTGATACAGCAGTTTGGTGCCTGCAGTTAGCTGCTGCAGTGGATGGTTAAAGACACACTCCAGCTATATTTGAATCTTTCCTGTTGAAAAACAATATCCCAAGTATAAATACAGTAATGTACACACACTTAAGGGTAAAACAAAATACGTTTTAAGCAAAATAGTGTTTTTTAGACACCCGCAAACTTCAAGGAGTACTGTCAACTGTGGGACCTTATATAGACAGGTGTGTTCCTTTCCAAATCATGTCCAATCAATTGAATATACCACAGGTGGACTCCAATCAACTTGTAGAAACATCTCAAGGATGATCAATGGAAACAGGATGCACCTGAGCTCAATTTCGAGTCTCATAGCAAAGGGTCTAAATACTTATGTAAATAAGGTTTATTATTTATATATTTTTATACATTTGCAAAAATGTCTAAAACCCTGTTTTTGCTTTGTCATGATGGGGTATTGTGTGTAGATTGATGAGGAAAAAAAGTAATTTAATCAATTTTAGAATAAGGCTGTAACGTAACAAAATGGGGAAAAAGTCAAGGGGTCTGAATAATTTCCAAATGCACTGTATGTACCAGGGAGCTGATAAGAGATAGTATATCTAATCTATGTGTCATACTTGACACAAATACGATGATCATATGATCATAACATACCCAACACTACACAGTACACACACTGTAAAACTGGATGTACTATACTGCATTAATACCGTGACATTGATTGCACACGTTTTTATGCGTGTCTTCAGGGCAGGAAGCCAAAAGTCTTCAGGGCAGGAAGCCAAAATGGCGAGTGTTTCTGTAGGTGCAGTGGGCACTTCACTGATACTGCTTCACTAAGACAGGGTAGGTTGGCCCATGCTGGACAGGCTATGGTGCACTAAAAGGATGACGTCATTAGAAGCAATAATAACGAATCTTTGTCATCACTTACCCATCGTTTGCTGCCATCTTGTGGTAGAAACGTCTAAAGTCAGCCCAGCATTTCAGTGGGTTTCTCTCTTCAGCTCAGCGTTCAAGCCAACCCAGAGGCATCCAACAAATCTTATTAAGATAAAAAGTTAAGTCAGGAGCATAGCCAGAAATGTGTTGGTGGGTGGGCCTGCAGAAATGTGGATGTATTTTTAAAAAAACCACATTTGCATTTTACATTTTAGTCATTTAGCAGACGCTCTTATCCAGAGCGACTTACAGTTAGTGCATTCATCTTAAAATAGCTAGGTGGGACAACCATATATCACAGGCATAGAAAGTAAAACTTTTCTCAATTAAGTAGTTATCAGTAGAGTCAGAGCTAGAAGGGGGGGGGGGTCAAGTTCAGGTATTTGTGTGTGTGTGTGTGTGTGTGTGTGGGGGGGGGGGGGGGGGGGTCGAGGTGAGGAGGAGGATTATTTAAGATACTGTTTGAAGAGGTAGTAATATAACATGTATTTTTATTTTTGCTCAATCTGATTGGGTGGGCCTGGCAGGGCATTCCTACGCCCTGAGTTAAGTAATACCATATGTTTTGCCTTTGCAGTTTCATCCCTGAAAAGGCACAAGACCCCTTTCTTTTCACCGTTAGTTTCTACTGTATGGTTTATTAAACAGTATGCACAAATAAATTACATCTAGCATTTTTACAGGGCAGATGGCTGATTACATAAAGTATCAGCACACACATTGCACATGCCAACAAATAGATCTGGTATAGTATACCGAATGATATAACCTCTATAAAGTCCAACATTTTGTAACTACATGTACAGTAAGTACATCAACGTTTATTTTCCAGTGGCACAATTCAATACCAACCACAAGGGGGTGGTAGTTATCCACTAAGGACACTTATTCAGTTCTCCATCCCTTCAGCATGTGGGTTGTCCCTTATCCTGCTAAGCTCAGCTAAGTATACCTCCCTCTGTTCTCCATGCATGTTTTAGGAAGACTAATATTGGGCTTGAATGAGTTTATCTTGTTTCCCTTTCAGTTCCTTTTTAGGTATGTATGGGTGAGGTGTCAGTAATAAAAGCCGATTTATGGTCATTCCGGAGTCTGCTTTGCCGTACAGCATTTACTGTGATGCAGCCTCTGCAGAAGTCATGGCGTCCATATTTCTTGCGCTTCGCGGAGCAGAGCTGTTGTGAAGGAAATTGTCAAGGAAGTGAGTTTGTGTTTATATAGGACGTACCGCCCACGCCTACCGTCAACCAATCATGTCATGTTGAGCTTTGTTACAAAAGTTGGGAGGCGCATGGCAATGCAGTACGGACCTATATAAATTTCGCAGCTCCAAGCCTCCGGAGGCTCCTCAATTGTGTCACACCCGGACCGCATTTCCGGATCAAGCATAAATTGGCTTTTAAAACCTGTTAAACTGACCCCCTCTGGTGGCATTTTCTAAATGACGCATAATATTGTATACTACCCTCAAAGTAAATGTAGGTTTCAAAACTAAACTCAGCAAAAAAAGAAACATCCTCTCACTGTCAACTGTGTTTATTTTCAGCAAACTAAACATGTGTAAATATTTGTATGAACATAACAAGATTCAACAACTGAGACATAAACTGAACAAGTTCCACAGACATGTGACTAACAGAAATTGAATAATGTGTCCCTGAACAAAGGGGGGGGGGGTCAAAATAAAAAGTAACAGTCAGTATCTGGTGTGGCCACCATCTGCATTAAGTACTGCAGTGCATCTCCTCCTCATGGACTGCAC